AAGCAATCCTCCCACTTCAGCCTCCCAAGTTGCTGGACTGCAGGTGTGCAACACCACAACTGGCTACACTTTTTTTTTTTAACTTTCAGTAGAAGAAAAGTCTTGCTATGTTGCCCAGGCTGGTCTCAAACTCCTGGGTTCAATGGATACTCCCACCTTGGCCTCCCAAAGTGCTGGGATTACAGGTGTGAGCCACCACATCCTCTGACTTTTTCCTACTAATAGGAACACAGATTAACATATTTTAATATATTAATAACTATTATTCCAATGCAAGCTCTGCTGGAAGGTCATTATATTGTTTCCTCCAAGCAAGGATGAATATTGCATGTAAATCCCTTCCCTCCAAGTTCTTCTGTTCAGTGACTCTACTGGTTTTCTTCTTTCCTTAGGAAGGTGGGGTGGTGGTGTCCTGTTAGTCACCTGGGACCAAGGGGGCTCCACACTGGGGTTGATCTTGCCTTGGCACTGTCTTTGGGAAAGTACTAAAACATTAGGCAGTACTCTCCACCACCCAGATGGCTTGTGCAGTCCTGTGGCCCTAACGTGACGGCATTTCCCACCCCCCACTCCCAACCTCCACTGAGTATTTTTTTTTTCTTAAGACGAGTCTCGCTCTGCCACCCAGGCTGGAGTGCAGTGGCGTGATCTCGGCTCACTGTAACCTTCGCCTCTGGGATTCAAACGATTGTCCTGCCTCAGCCTGGGGAGGAGCTGGGGTTACAGGCACCCATCACCATGCCCTGCTAATTTTTGTATTTTTAGTAGAGATGGGTTTTGCCATGTTGGCCAGGCTGGTCTCAAACTCCTGACCTCAGATGATCCGCCTGCCTTGGTCTTCGAAGGTGCTGGAATTACAGGTGTGAGCTATCGTGCCTTGTCCCCTACCGAACACTCCCGATCATCAGAAGGCAACGGCAGCAAGAGGTTCACAAATCTCTGGACACAAAGGAAGCTTTCCCCTGGTTTGAGGACATTGTAGTTAAGAGAATGAAGGTGCACTTTGGCCCAGAGAGCGGTCACCCCTATTTCTTGGCAGTGTTCAGACACAGTTGGCATACGTTTCTGTTCTTGGATCCCAAAGACCCCAGGGCACAAAGCTATGTACCCTTTCTCCTGCCAAATAAAATCCACGGACACTGCATCTTGGCGATGAAGCTTGAAACCAGTCAAGCATTTTTATTTAAAAAAAAAAAAAAGGGAAAAAATTCCAATGGTAAAGTATATAGCCTATACATGCTGCAGCTAGTTCTCACCCCTCCCCTCATAGCCTATGTATCGTTTATTTAAAGTGTTAAAGGAAACAAAAGCCACCACCAGAATGCCAATTTGCCAAGAGGGTAGAGCGCAGGGATCTCCAGCGTCCTCCTATGAGCAGACACGAAGTGGTGGGCGGTGCCCACTGTTCCGGGAGGGAGGTAAGAAATGACCCTGTTACTCAGAAGCTCCCCAAAGCAGGAAATGTGGGTTGTAGTCAAAGTGACCATAGTTTATCGTCACCCCTCTAAGTGAAAGGGGTGCTAACAACAATTACATGGGCACAAAGGCGTACAAGGGCACACACTGGGGGGAAATACGGACACCACTGTTACATTAGAATTGCTTATTGCTGACGTAAGCCTGGTGGGGTACGTTCTTTTTTTACATGAATAGGACGTCTGAAAGTGAAGGCTACTGGCTGTGGCACTGTGGTTGGCCTCTCTGAGGACAAAAGAGGTCGAGCCCCTCATCCCTGATTGGAGCTAAGAAGGCTTACTTTGGAGTCAAGGATAGAAATGGGAAGATGGAATGTTGAAACACGAAGAGGAGCTCGATCACTTGGCAGGATAGCACCGGAAACCAGACGTCACCCCACGGAGCTGGGCAGTCCATTCTGTAGAAAGGTGCTCTGAAGGAGGTTTATGAGTAGGCAAAGATGTGGAGCCTCCAGTGCTAGCTCTGTGGTTCTGCCTGGGACCCTCGTGGAGACTTATTCTAGTTAGCAGCAATTCCTCCAGGCCAAGGGAGGGTGCCCTGCACCTCGGGCCTCCATGCATGCGGTCTACCTCCCATCAGCCCAGTCTGACACGAGGTCATCTTTGGTCTGTGGTAAGGTATGGTTGTCTGCAGTCTCTACAGAAGCCCTGCACATTGGGCCTGGACAACCCTCGGGGGATAAGACTGCCACGCATGGTTCAGGCTGTTTGGAATCCACTGTCACAGTCCAAAGAGAAGGGTACGGCCTCCACGGGGACAGCTTATCCCAACATGTAAGACACTTGGGCGCAATGAAAGGACAAGAGCCCACCTACGAACTTTTTTTTTTTTTTTTTTCTTTTTTTGAGACAGAGTTTCACTCTTGTTGCCCAGGCTGCAGTGCAATGGTGTGATCTGGGCTCACTGCAACCTCTGCCTCCCAGGTTCAAGTGATTCTCCTGCCTCAGCCTCCCGAGTAGCTGGGATTACAGGCATGTGCCACCACACCGAGCTAATTGTGTATTTTAAGTAGAGACAAGGTTTCTCCATGTTGGTCAGGCTGGTCTCGAACTCCTGACTTCAGGTGATCCAACCGCCTTGGCCTCCTGAAGTGCTGGGATTACAGGCGTGAGGCACCATAGCCAGTCTAATGTTTTCGTTCTTGATGCCAAGTTGCCAGCTATTGGAAGGCAGGAGCAGTTTCTTCTTTTTCCCACTCCGTGAGGGGTACCTGGGAGAGGCTAAATACCAGACTGTCCACTCCTCAGCCTAAGGTCCTTCGCAAGTCCTGGCATACTCAGCACTTGCTCTTTAATGTGGCACAGGTGTTCCCCCATTTTCTCCCTGGTAGTGAAATCCCCAGTGGGCACAAACGTTTTAAGGCCAAGAATATTGCCTTGGAAACGGATTCTCTGGCGTGGCCCTGTGGCGGAGGTTTAAAATGACTACTGTAACTTGGCATGGGCTCTAACAATCCCCAGATAGGGAAGGGCCATTAAAAGCGGTTTAAGCTAGAGCTCAGCTCTCCCCAAGTCTCAGCCGAGACAATGATACACACCCACCAAATGGTAAAGAAAGATTCTGAGCAAAAAATGTGAGCAAAGGCCTCTTATCGAGAGGTGGTCCTAAGACTCAGATTTTCCAAATTTTTGGAGGTACCACCAGCTGTCCCTTTGCCCTGCGATGTAAGGTAAAGTCATCACAATTGTGATGATAAGCAGGGGTGAAGAGAAGAAAAAAAAAAATCTTTGCCCACCTTTTGGGCTGCCATTTGGCCTGTGACCTACTGAAATGTGTGACCAAGAGGTGGAGGGAACAGACACAATTCAGAGGGAGGGTCACTTGATTCCCTGGAAGCCCTATGCACATTTCCCTACGAATGGCAGAGGAAAAGTCATGGGCAAGAAGATATAATAAAGAAACCCAAACCCTAGATCTGAGTCCCAGCTTGGCCACTATTTGGGCAAGGCTGGGACATGTGACTAAAGATGTTACAGGTGAGCAGAGGAAGCTCCTTCTCATGCAGAAGCAGCCAGCGCCCACGTGCCAGGGGGTAGAGCTGGGTGGCGGGGCAGAAGGCTGTACCAGAAAAACTCTGGCACTGTAAGCAGTGCACATCTCCCCAAAACACTGGCTTTGTGGGTCCAAAAGTATCTCAGCAGATGAACACTGTGAACTGGAGATCTCGGGCAGGGCAGGACTACCTCGGTTGGGTAGAATGAGAAGGAGTTCTGCTCTGCTCTCTTACTCTGGGCTGGGAGCTAGAAATGCTGGGTCCTGATTTGGTTTTTGCAGGGACTCAGCCATGCCTCTCCATGTCGCAGTTTGACAGATGACCACATCTGCCCTGGGCTTCGTCCAGGGAGAAAACAAATTTGTAGGTGCATGAAAAAAGGGCGGGGGGAAGACAAATGCCAGAGAGGTGTAGGAAGCAGCTCTGCCTGGCCCTGCGTTCCCTGTCTCCTTATGGGACTGCCGCATGCTATGCTTAGTCCCTCGAGGCCGGCCCGTGAGGCCACCTCAGCTCCCACTGCTCCATCAGCTCTATTTCCCAGGGGCAACAGCTTAGAAGCAGGGAACAGGGCTCTGTGCCAACCACCAGGACCCTGGCATTCTCCTGCTATGAAGACGCAGCTGTTGAGTCCAGGACAGCCTTTGGTATAAGCTGCTGTGGGCCAGAGGGATGGTGGGTGTGGGAGCAGCCACAAAGGCCCCCTCACCCCCACCACAATGAAGCCACTTGGCCACCTGCTCCTGGCACCTAGCCAGCTTCTATCTCTTCCCTGCCTGGTTTGCCTTTTATAGAGGGGAGAGCACAGGTATTGAAGTCAGGCAGGCCTGGACTCAAATCCTCTTCCCTCTTCTCCCTGGCTGGTGTGTCTCTTTCACATGGAGCCCGAGTTTCCTTATCTATAAAGGGGATATAATGTCACAAGGGAGGCTGTGAGGGTCCAAACATGAATGCAAAGTGCCAAGTACAGTGTTTGGCACCACCGAGGCACTCAGCAAAAGGGTGCTCACGAGGGCACGACTTGTGAATGGGCCTCTTACTCAGACTTTGAGATTCTTGCTTTAGGTAGGCAAAAATGAAATGCTCGAAGCTGGGGAGGGAATTCTTATTGAGAAGCCCCGGCGGAACCGGAGCCTACAGCAGGAAAATGTAGCACGTGCGGGGCTGGAACCACCCTTCAGGGCTGACCATGGTCCAAGACAGAAGGTGGGAGGCAGGGCTGCCAAGCGGACCTCCAGGCCCATTCCTGGGGGAGCTGCATCCAGTGGAACCTCAGAGGCGCACGGGCCTGAGGCCTAGGGGAGGGACACTTTCCCTGGGACTGGCAATGGAATGGACTTCTTCAGGATAAAGGTCTTTCTGGTACCAGGCATTTTAGGAAGAGTGAATAAAGCCACTGGGCTTTTAGAAACATGAAGTTGGAGCAAGTCATCAAGGACTGGGTGGGCTGCCCCTTACTGTGCCATGTCCAGGCCATGAGACCCCTGCTGGAGTTTCTCCAGGTGATGGGCTCCAGGCCTGGAGGCCTTGGAGAGTCCTGGTCCCACTGCTGGGTGGCAATGCCATTGGCCAGGAGGAGTTCTCTTAAGGCAGGGATGCTGACATGGACAGAAAGCAAGGGCTGTGGCTGCTGAGCCTCCAGGGATGCCGTGATGGGAGGGATCAGACCCAGGGGCACCCGAGGCATCTGAAACTCACTCTCTGCCCAAGGGAGGCAAGAAGCCACGGTATCCCAGAGTCTGTCTGCCTTGGAAGCTGCGTGGAGAATGATAAATTAAGAGGTGTATTAAATATGCGGTAAAGCCAGCAAGGACCAGCGGGCCCTCTAGGCAGAAAGGGAGTTGGCTACGGCTTCTTTCTAAGATAGTTGGAAGGAATCCACCCTTCCCAAGAAGGGGCTCCACTCAGGACCTGGCAGAACCACCAGCCACTGCTGTTCTTCTCCCGGACTTCAAACACCGTCCCTTCCTGGAAGCTGCTGGTGTCTTTGTCTCCTTCAAAGCTGGCCACGGCCACATACAAAGAGTCCTTCAGGCCATCGGCATTGGGGACGGAGGCTACAGCTGCTTTCTCCCAGTTTTCTCCGATCTTGCCGGTCCCCCGTGGCCCCAGGCTGCCTTTGCTTCGAATATCATCCTCGCCCCCTAAAGAGTTGGAGAGAAAAGGTTTGGCTTTTGGAGGGACTTGGAGAGCATGGCCTGGGGTGGGAGCGGCCCTGCTTTCTTGGGCTTCACGCTGTGGACCTCTGATCTCTAGGAGAGGCCCGGCTGACGAAGAGGTTTTCTTGGGAGGGGGTGGTCTCCGGGGTGGGACCACAGGTCTCTGCTGGGGAGCCTCTTGGAGAGGAACAGGCGCGCTCTTAGACACAGGATCTGTGGTCTTGGCTGGCCTCGGAAAGGCTCTGCAGGACATCTCTTTTGGACTGAGCCCATCCGGTTTGCCCGTCCTGTCCTGGGTGCGGCCAGGCCCCTCTCCTGGGAGGAAGCTTCGGCTGGAGGCCACGTCTTGACCCCCTGCTGCCTGAGGGCTCTCCCCATCCAACAGTGACTTGTCCTGGGATTTGGCAGGCCTGAGCTTACTCCTGAGGTTGCAGATGTCGACTTGGTCTTCGCCCTGAGGTGGCTCTGTTTTGGGGGATGGAGCTGGTTTTGGCCTAACCTGAGGTCTGGACTTCAAGAAGGGATTCTGGGGAGTGGCTTCTGGCTTCTCCTCCGGCAGGTCAGTTTTGGATTTGGAGACAGGTCGCAGGTTGGGCTTCTTCACTTCCTTGGCCAAGACCTTGTGGCCACACTCCAGCCCCATGTCATTTTTCAGCTGGAGCAGTTTGCTTTTGTCAGGTTTGGGCTCTGGCCTCTTACTGTCCCGGGCTGGAGGGGCGTGCTTGGCTGGAACCATCGGCAAAATCACGCCCGGAGGCTTGGGGGCGGGGGCCCGGAGCTGCTGCGTCCTCTGCCGCTCACGCTCCAGCAGCTCCTCTTCCGACTTGATGATGGATTCCTTCCGCGGAGGGAGGCTGGGCTTCTCCTCCATGTCAGGGTCGGAGATCTCCTCATAGCCTGCTGACGCAGACATGTCTGAAGACGCCTTCCTCAGGACCTCCTTACCGCCCTTCCAGTCTTTAGACCACGGCAACCCTGAGTCCATGGCCCCATGTGGTGCCTCAGGCAGGGGCCGGGAGGGGCCCGTGGCTTCGCTGCCCATGCTGCTCTCTAGCGCTGCTGCATCCCCCAGCCGGAGCTGGGTCACCTCATGGGGCAGGGGAGCCAGAAAGTTGGGTCTCGAGGCATTGCTGGTCTTCTTGTACTTGTCAATGAAGGTTGCCGGGGCCCACCCTTCCTTATCTTCAATCTGAATGTACCACCAGCCACTCAAGTTTTTCTCGATCACCTGCAAGGGAGCATAGAGAAAGGCACTTGGGTGCGATGCCACAGCCAGCAGATGGAATGGTTTGGGAGAACCCAACTGGAGCTCTAGAAGCTGTCACTTTGTACTTAGCAGCAACTCCTGCAAGTACAAGGGGACCACCAATGGAGATGTTACCATGTTCTAGGAATCTTTTACTGGGGGTAGATTCTTGTCTAACTGAATTCCCCCTAAAGCATTCCATGAGACATGGATTTGCGTATAGGTACTTTTGTGTGTGTGTGTGAGACGGAGTCTCGCTCTGTCACCAAGCTGGAGTACAATGGCACGATCTTGGCTCACTGTGACCTCCGCCTCCCGGTTCAAGTGATTCTCCTGTCTCAGCCTCCCGAGTAGCTGTGACTACAGGTGCACACCACCACATCTGGCTAATTTTTGTATTTTTAATAGAGACGAGGTTTCACCATGTTGGCCAGGATGTTCTCAATCCCTTGACCTCATGATCTGCCTGCCTCAGCCTCCCAAAGTGCTGGGATTACAGGTGTGAGCCACCGCGCCCGGCTGGGTATAGGTACTTAATTTGAGAGCTGGTCCTAGAAAATACAAGTAAGGAAGTAGAGAGAGAAAGAAGGGAAGGAGGGAGGCCAATTATGAGCAAGTTATTGCTCTGGGCCATGGGGTTTGATCTGCCAGGGACCCTCAGAGAGACCATGAAGACAGTGCCTCAGAATGGTCCCTCTGGGGAGGTGCGCATTTATCTATTAACTCCCAGCCCCTCTCTACCCAGGGCATTAACTCCTCTCCCTTTCTGGGAAGCTGTCAGCTTGCAGGGACCTGTGTGTAGGTGCAGGTGAATTCAGGTGGATCAGGGCACTGGCAGTGCCTGTTATAATTCTAAAGACAACGCACAAGCCAAAGCTACCCTGGATCCTAGCTTCTCTGGGTAAGCACTGGATGAAAAAGTTAGCTAGTATTTATAGAGGCCACAACATATGAAAAATACCTGCCTTGGTCAGGTGTGGTGGCTCACAGCTCTAATCCAAGCACTTTGGAGGCTAAGGTGGGCGGATCACCTGAGGTCGGGAGTTCAAGACCAGCCTAACATGGTGAAACCCCATCTTTATATATATATGTAAGAAGAAAAATATCTACTGTTTTTTTGAGACAGAGTCTTGCTCTGTCACCCTGGCTGAAGTGCAGTGGCATGATCTCAGCTCTCTATAACACCTCCCAGGTTCAAGGGATTCTCATGCCTTAGTCTCCCAAGTAGCTAGGATTACAGGTGTGTGCCACCATACCTGGCTAATTTTTGTATTTTTAGTGGAGACAGGGTTTCACCATGTTGGCCAGGCTGGTCTCGAACTCCTGGCCTCAAGTGATCTGCCCGCCTCAACCTCCGAAAGTGCTGAGATTACCGGTGTGAGCTGCCACACCTGGCCTGAAAAATACCTATCTTTGAACACAGGAATTACACTCAGCTCTAAGAGATGCTCGTGTTTATAAACAGGGGACCTGGAGCTGGTGGAGTAGAGTAGAATTTCATCTCATCTCTGCTTCCCTGTGGATACTCGCCTGTCGGATGGAACGGTGGGTGGAATCACCCATGTTGTTTAAGATCTTGTTCTGTCTCTTGTCCAGCACTGTATGGCTGAATTTACACAGGTGAAAGGTGTGCTTGCTATTATGGGCTGAATTGTGTCCCCCTACCCAAATGTGTATGTTGAAGCCCTAACCCCCAGTACCTCCAAATGTGACTGCATTTGGTAACAAGGCCTTTAAAGAGGTGATTAAAGTTAAAATGAGTCATTAAGGTGGGCTGACAGAGTTTGGATGTTTGTCCCCACCCAAGTCGCACGTTGAAATGGAATCCCCAGTGTTGGCGGCAGGGGCTGGTGGGAGGTGTTTGGGTCATGGGGGTGGATCCCTCATGAGTGGCTCGGTGTCCTTCCCATGGTAATAAGTTCCCACGAGATCTGGTTGTTTAAAAAGTGTGTGGTGTCTCCTTGCTACTCTCTCTTGCTCCACTCTCACTATGTGACATGCCTACTCCTGCTGTGCCTTCTGCCATGGGTAAAAGCTCCCTGAGCCTCCCCAGAAGCCACGCAGATGCTGGCGCCATGTTTTCCATACAGCATGCCGAACTGTGAGTCAAGTAAACCTCTTTTCTTTATAAATTACCCAGTCTCAGGCATTTCTTTATAGCTATCCAAGAATGGCCTAATATATGGGCCCTAGTTCAATATGACTGATGTCCAGATAAGAAGAGGAGATTAGAAAACACACAGAGGCTGAGGGATGACCGCATGAGAAAGAGTGGGCAGGCATCCATATAGAAGCGAAGCAGAGAGGACACAGGAGAAACCAAACCTGCTGACACCTTGATCTTGAACTTCTGGCTTCCCAAACTGGGAGACAATAAACTGCTGTTGTTTGAGCCACGCCACCCAGTCTGGTATTTGTTTATGCAGCCAGCAGAGATGCACACTGCAATTCCCTGGTAGGCTCTCTCTGTACTTGGAAGACACCCTGTGAGTTGGGGACTGTCACCTCACTTTACACATGCAGAACTGAGCCTCGGGAGAGCTGACCGACACACAGCAGGTCATGTAGAAAGTCTGGCAATCGGAGGAGAGTCAAAGGCAGGAGGGTGGGCTTCGGAGTCACCCAATCTCACCTCTCAGAAGAGACCCTGCTTGGAGAAGGGCTATGTCTGGGGTGAGAAATTGCAGAAGGAGCAGAGATGGCTGCGGGCACACTGTGGCCCCTCTGGGAGAGGGATGCCAGCCACAGACTCAGCACCAGGATGCAAAGTCTGGGCTCTGGGCCTGCAGTCCTGGGTTCTAGTCTTGGCTTTTCCGCTTACTGCCTGAGAGGCCCGGGGCAAGCCGTGTGCCTCAGATTCCACATCACAGAAGGAAGCCGATAAGAACAATTTAACACCCACTTGTAGAATTTTTGGAGCCTCAAGCGCTAGGGCATACAACAGCACTTGATAAACGCTGTGCACTTGATAAACGCTGTGCACTTGATAAACGCTGTGCACTTGGTAAATGCTCCTGTGATCAAATCTGAGTGAAGGTCACGAGCCAGCGGGATGCACTTGACAGGCAGCACTTAATGAGTCCCACTGGAATCTCCAGGAAGGGCCACTGATAAATGTAAGCTCTTTATGTGAGGAAGACTGGCATCTTATCAACACTTGATAGCTCTGGTAAAAATTACAGGCCATGCTAGGCATACAAGTCGTTGTCAGCACATTCATAAATTCAACATTAATACTTAATTCTGTGAGAAACTGAAAATAGGATAATCAATATTAGATGTATCAGTAAGATTTGTCAAGCTTACACTCCATGCAAAGTGTTGTGGTAGAAGCTCTGAACACGTGTGTTCTGAACCATGATAAATCGAGTTTTCGTTTACTAGAGGGAGGCCACGAGCTACTATGAATAAAAGCAAATGTGAGATCAGAAGCCAGGCATGGTGGCTCACACCTGTAATCCCAGCACTTTGGGAGGCTGAGGTGGGCAGATCACCTGAGGTCAGGAGTTTGAGACTAGCCTGGCCAACATGATGAAACCCCATCTCTACTAAAACAAAAAACAGAAAACAACGCTGGGTGTGATGGTGGGCACCTATAATCCCAGCTACTTGGGAGGCTGAGGCAGGAGAATCATCTAAACTTGGGAGGCAGAAGTTGCAGTGAGTCAAGATTGGGCCATGGCACTCCAGCCTGGGCGACAGAGCAAGACTCCATCTCAAAAAAAAAAAAAAAAAAAAAAAAAAAAAAAAAAATCACAAGAATGAGGGAAAAGAAAAGAGAGTGGGCTTTAAAACCAGAGAGTCCAGGGGGCAGGGGAAAAACAAAACAAACAAAACAACAGAGAGAGCTGGCTTCACCTCCCAACTCCACCGCTTACTAGCTGTGTTACTATAGGCAATTAATTTACCTAACGCCTCTGAGGCTCATCTATAAAACATGCCGACAGAAAAACAAAAAGAAAAACCCACGAACCAACGAACCAATGCCATGCTGCTGGTAGTGACGTCGTGGGACTTCTGTGAAGATCAGTTATCAAGGAGGTAAGGCGCCTGACACAGAAGAGGTGCAGAGATGAATACATTAGACCTCTGCCTTCCCGGGTGGCGTGGGGAGGATCTGACCAACTCTTACGATGACAGATGGACTTGGTGATACCTGTGATTGGCTCACCTGCTTCTGAAACTGTCTCAAGAACCATCTTTGCCGCGGGGCGCAGTGGCTCAAGCCTGTAATCCCAGCAGTTTGGGAGGCTGAGGCGGGTGGATCACGAGGTCAAGAGATCGAGACCATCCTGGTCAACATGGTGAAACCCCGTCTCTACTAAAAATACAAAAAATCAGCTGGGCGTGGTGGCGCGTGCCTGTAATCCCAGCTACTCAGGAGGTTGAGGCAGGAGAATTGCCTGAACCCGGGAGGCGGAGGTTGCGGTGAGCCGAGATCGCGCCATTGCACTCCAGCCTGGGTAACAAGAGAGAAACTCCATCTCAAAAAAAAAAAAAAAAAGAACCATTTTTGCCAAAGGGTTCCAAACCCTGGCCCTTGTTGCCATCCCCTTACTTATAGGTTTTCTTGGAAATATGAGAAAGAACTATCTTTAAGCTCCAACCCCATGAAGAAAGGAAAGAAAAATACAGGAAGAGAATCCAGGGAATAAAGCCAACAAGCAGAGGGAGTGGGAAGAAAAGGAGAGAGGAGAAGCAAGAATGGAGGTGGGAGGTGGTGAAGAAAGGCACACAGCCAGTCTCACAAGACCACATACTGCGGGATTTCATCTGTGTGAAATGTCTAAAACAGGCACCTCTATGGAGACAGGAAGTGGATCAGTGGCTGCCTAGGGCTGGCAGGGACGATTGAGGGGAAATGGAAGGTGACTGTTGATGGATAAGGGGTTTCTTTTTTTTTCTGGAATTAGATAGTCGTGAGGGTTGTGCAACCCTGTGAATATCATAAGCCACTGAATTTTTACACTTCAAATTGGTAAACTGTATGGTATGTGAACTATAAAACTGTTCATCTCCACCCACCCAATGAAGTAGGAGGTGACAGGGGAGAAGGAGGAGGTGATGCCTGGAATCAGGAACCACAAGTAGGCAAAGGAACACCAGGGCCACTCACCTCGACCTTCAGGCCTGCCTGGAAGCTGATGCCATCTGGGATGGTGGTTTGGAACTCGGCGATGGTGTAATACTCTTCCTCCACTTGGGGCGGGATGGGTGGCTTCGGCAGGTTGAGGCCTCGAGGCTGGTATGATCACACACAGTGTTATCCCCAATGCTAAGTGCACTCCTGTGACCCTGTGCCAGGGGAGACTGAGGGCCTGGGGCATGCAATCATCCTTACGAGGGTGCTGGGGACCTAGTTGGATTCTAAGGGACAACACAAATAGGACCACGCAGATTGTCATTTCCTCGGTAAGATCTCACTGGCCCATTGGCTTTAGGGAGATGAGAAGAAACATGGGGCATCTGGTTACAGTCATGAGAATTTGGCGCAAGACCGTATTCTCTGAAATAAGAGGCAGTGAGGGTTGTGGCAAGAACTTGGGTTTGTTGGTTAGATCCATTTGGGTTGGAAATGCTGACAATGGGAGTGACCTTGGGCAAATCAACCCCTTCTAGAGCCTCAGTTTTCTCTCCTGTAGAGTGGGCATAACAGTGTCTACCTGGTGAAGTTGTTCAAGTATTAAATGAGTTAATGATGTGAGGCACTCAGCACACTGCATGGCACGCAACAGGTGTTTGAGAAATGGCAGACATTAAAAAAAATACAATCCCGACAGCGCAAGACCCCCATCTCAAAAAAATTAAACAAAAAAACCCCCAAAACCCAACAACCCATTGTTCAAAGTACTGGCTAAAAAGGTGCCTAGAATTTTACAAAATGGAGTATGAACGCAGACATAGACGGAGTATCAACACAGATGATATTTGTGTCTCACCTCAGCTTGGGCCACGTTGCTTGACCCAAGAAGACCAATCTAAGACCCAGAGAAGGGCTCAGGGAGCAGAAAGCAGGTCCCAAGGCCCAACTGCCACGAGAGCACTCTGGCCCTGTGGGCAAACTGTTGCACCTGCCTGCCCCTCAGTCTTTCCACCTGAGAATGGGACTAGCGTTTATAGAGCCTGTTTCTCAAGGCTGTTGTGTGGACAGGCAAGAGAGCATTTCTGGGCTGAGTGTGGTGGCTCGCACCTGTAATCCAAGCACTTTGGAGGCCAAGGCGGGTGGATTCACCTAAGGTCAGGAGTTCAAGACCAGCCTGACCTGACCAACATGGTGAAATCCTGTCTTAAAAAAAATTTTTTTTTTGTTTACATAGGTGAGGTTAGAATTGCCTCAGTAATGCTGGACTGCCTCAGTAATGGCAGACTGCCTCGGTAATGATAAAATTTTAATATTTAAAAAAAAAAGAAAAAAAGAGCATTTCTGGAAGGGTGAGGGGTGTGTGAGGGGCTGGTAGACACCCTTCACAGCCTTCAAGTCAGTGGCCACTCCCCAGTAGCAAGGGTCGACTTACAATGGTCATGTCCCGGCGAGGAGGGGGTCTCTGCCTCATCTTTGGTGATCCTATGAAGAAATGAGAGCTTATTACACTCACGTGCAGAGTGCTACAGATGAGATTCCTGAGCTGGGCACCAGGACAGATCTATTCTCTCCTGCAGAAGATTGAACACAGGCGTTCACATGCTGCTGCAACCCTTCCTGCGAGAAGAGCCTGGGCAGGAAGGAGCTGCTCACGCGTGGCTCATGCTTGGCTCAGGACTCCCTCCATATAGTTTTTCCTGGATCTTTTCTACACAGGAGTGAAAGGGGATGGTGGTGAGTTCTCAAGTAATGAAAACTCTCCAGAAAGGGCAAAAAGCAAAGTCTTCAGAATAACACATGGATGGGTTCCAATCCAGCTCCAAGGCTCGCGGCTGCTGGCACTGGACAGATGACTGGACTCTCTGAGCCACAAGGCCCTCATCTGTAGAACTGGCATAGTGTGTGCCACCCAGGGCAGCGGTGAGGATAAAAGGAAACATCAGTGAAGCTCTTGGCATGTGGCAGGCGTACAATAAATGTTAAGTGCACCTGGTTTTGTGCTCTGGAACAGCCCAAACACAACAATACACAAACACACTGAACCAAACACACTTGGGCTGATGACTCAGGGGTTTATACTCTGGAGGGGGCTGCCCTAGCTCTGGGTCTCAGGGCCAGGAGGATGAGGACTTTGCAGTGGTCCAAGGCTCCTGGCTAAAGGCGGAATGTTGACCAGGTTCAGCACGGGTCCATACAGAAGGGTAGTTTAGAGTTGGGGTGTAGAGGAGATTGCTAATCCCTTAAATTCCCATTTACCTGTCTTCTACTAGAAAAAATAGCAACAGCGTTTTGGCCAAGACACTTAGCTGCCTATATAAAGACTTCATTTCCCAGACACCCTTGCAGCCAGGTATTGCCATGTGACTCAGTTCTGGCTAATGGGATGTGAGACAAAGCAGAAAGTGTGTAGCTTCTGAGCTGTGCCCCCATTTCTCCCCCACTGCTTTTCATTGGCTGGACTTACAGTAGTGAGCCATTCTGGATGAGATGGATGAGGGCAACATGACACATGCAGAGTGATAAGACTCTTGATTGCCCAGAGCTGCCATACCAGCTCTGGACATATACACAGAGTATTTTGTGAAAAAGAAATACATACCTAGATTAACCTAGATTATTTGAGCCACTGTTATTGGATGTGGGTATATGTGTGCACTCAGTGGTGGTGGGGGGGTGTCTTTGTTTTAGCATCTGAATCTATCTATCTATCTACCTATCTATCTATCTATTTTTTGAGAGATAGAGTCTTGCTCTGTTGCCCAGGCTGGAGTGTAGTGGTGCAATCACAGCTCACTGCAGCCTTAATCTCCTGGGCTCAAGTGATCCTGCCGCCTCAGCCACCCTAGTAGCTGGGACTATAGGTGCATGCCACCATGCCCAGCTAGTTAAAAAAAAAAATTTTTTTTTGGTAGATAGGGTGTCTCACTACATTGCCTAGGCTGGTCTCAAACTCCTGGCCTCAAGTGGTCCTCCAGCCTCAGCCTCCCAAGGCACTGGGATTACAGTTCTGAGCCACTGAGCCCAGCCTGAACCTATATACTAACAAAGACATTGAGGTTGCAGAGTTTCATATGCTCCTGTAGTCTTAATGGGAATACACCTATCCTCTTGGCCATGATTGACAGATTAGAATCACACAAACTCAGCTGGATGTGGTGGTTCACACCTGTAATCCCAGTACTTTGGGAGCCTGAGGTGGGTGGATAACCAGGTCAGGGGTTCAAGACCAGCCTGACCAACATGGTGAAATCCTGTCTCTACTTAAAAATACAAAAATTAGCTGGTAGTGGTGGGTAGCTATAATCCCAGCTACTTGGGAGGGTGAGGTAGGAGAATTGCTTGAACCTGGGAGGTGGAGGTTGTAGCGAGCCGAGAGCACACCATTGCACTCCAGCCTGGGTGACAGAATGAGACTCTGTCTCAAAAAAAAAAAAAAAAAAAAAAAGAATCACACAAACTCGGGGCTGGCCAGAACTCCCACCACAGCACGTGAGAAAACATGATCAGGCTGGGCATGGTGGCTCACGACTGTAATCCAAACACTTTGGAGGTCAAGGCGGGCGGATCACCTGAGGTCAGGAGTTCAAGACCAGCCTGACTAATGTGGTGAAACTCCATCTTAAAAAAAAAAAAAAGAAAGAAAACATGATGAGTGACTTCTCAGGGCAGCTGAGCAGAGTATGAAGCTTGAGGGACTGAAGGTTGAGGGACTGAAGAAATTCATTGCTACTTAAAAATAGTGGGGAGAAGCCCAGCCAGGGGTGGTGGCTCTGTGGGTAGCTCAAAGTACTTTCTTAACAGACAGAGTCCACTGCCCTGCATGACCAAGACAGGATCATGGGCACTGTGCATGAGTCCCGGGCACCAGTGTGCCCATGCAGACATGGTACGGTAGCCAGTGTGACCAGGCTGACCACAGTAATGAACTCTACTCTCAGGTGTGCTGGGAACATTAAATAGTAAAATATACACCAGGAGGCTTTGAATATACACTAGGAGGCAAGATGGGAGAGGCACTGGTGCCGTAGTAAACCCTACAGGGTCGTCTTCTTCCTCTGGCTTAGAAACAAGGCCACATGGAGGAATGGAGGGCACAGCACTGCCAGGTTCAAGTCCCTGTCGCTGACGTCTGCTAGCTGGGGGCCTTGGGCACACCCTCTCACCCGTCAGACTCCCAATCTGTAAAACAGAAAAAGTAGCAATTCCCTCAAAGGTAGTTAGGAGTCGTCGATGAGACTGATTAGAAGGTTTCTGCCATGTAGCAAGTGCTTGAAAAATAGTAGCCAGTGTGGCGACTGTGAGATAGTGGAAAGGATGTCACCTGGGGTAGGAAAGCAACAGCTCTTTTTTTTTTTTGAGATGGAGTCTCGTTCTTGTCACCCAAGTTAGACGCAATGGTACGATCTTGGCTCACTGCAACCTCCACCTCCCAGGTTCAAGCAATTCGCCTGCCTCAGCCTCCTGAGTAGCTGGGATTGCTGGTGCCTGCCACCACACCCGCCTACTTTTTGTATTTTTGGTAGAGACGGGGTTTCACCATGTTGGCCAGGCTGGTCTCGAACTCCTGACCTCAGGTGATCCACTCACCTCAGCCTCCCCAAGTGTTAGGATTATAGGTGTGAACCATTGCGCCCGGCCAGCAATGCCTCTTGACTCAGATTCTGCAACTCACGGGCTGAGTGATCTGCAACAAGTTATCTGGGGTTTCTGAGCCTGTTTTCTTATCTAGAGGATGGTGGGGTGGGCAGCTGGGCAGCTGGGCCACTGTGAGGATGAGGGATGATGTGAGGAGTCCTAAGCACAGAGCTGGCACACAGGGGGCCACGAGCATTGGGAGCTTGGGTGGGCATCACTCACTCTGCTTGGCATCGCTGTCGGGCACCGGGCGGCCTTCAAACCTCCCATCCTTCTGGCTGCTGAGCAGCTCCTTCTCCCTGCCCACCACGTTTGGTTGCCGGGAAACACCATCCGAGTCGAGGGCACCCAGATGGGCGGGTGAGCCGGGACCTGGCTTTGGGGGCAAGGGCTCCCCACTGTTCTTCTTTAGGTAGGAGGCAGGGGCCCAGCCTTCTTTGCCCTGGTACCTGTGAGGAGGAGGAAGGATGCTGTCAAACTGTTTTGCCAGGCCCAAGGGAAGAAGGCTTGCTCCTACTGGGAATCACATGACAGGTCCCAGGGAGCAGGAACAGGTTGTGACTGCCCAGAGCCAGAGGTTGGCACACCATGCACTTCCTCTTGATGGAGCCTAAGCCCTCAGCTTGGCATTTTCAAGGCCTTTCCAACCCGGCCTCTACTTTCCCCCTCACAGCACCCTCCATGTCCCACCCACCCAGAAAGGCTGGGCTTGGAAGCTCTGTGCTTTGCTGCCTCTTCCCTCCAGCCCCATTTCTGGGGCCGAAGCCTGGCATAGACAGCCGGAGCTCTGTTCACGCTGGCTAACACGGAGATTAAACACGTTTTCACATGGGATTAGCAGGTCAAGGGCTGGGTCCAGGGCTTACCAAGTGTCAGCTGGCCGTCACTAAACTGCAGAGTGATTGAGAACTTGACAGAACAGCTTGGTGTCCTCCCAAAAGGGAATTCGATGAGTGTCATCATCACCTAATCTTCTGCAGGACAGATTCAGTTTTTGAGCTAGGGTCTCCCTGTCATCCAGGCCAGAGTGCCGTGGTTCAATCATGGCTCACTGCAGCCTTGAACTCCTGGGCTCAAGCAATCCTCCCATCTCAGCCTCCTATGTAGCTGGAATTACAGGTACATGCCACCATGCCCAGCTATTTATTTATTATTGCTTCTTGTAGAGATGGGGTATTGCTGTGTTGCCCAGGCTGGTCTCAAGCTCCTGAACTCAAGGGTTCTTCCTGTCTCAGCCTCCCAAAGTGTTGGGATTACAGGCATGAGCCACCATGCCTGGCAAGATTTCAGTTTAACAGCAATGATCAGAGGGGTCAATGCAGACCAGGGGTGTGCTGCAGTCAGTCACACCAGCTGTGACAGCCAGTCGGGCACATCTCTCCCAATCTCTACACTTGGTCACATCACACTGATAGCTTGAAATCGACCACAGTGGCAGTATTTGCACCGTGGCAACTGGTGAACATCATAACTCACAGTACTTTTCCTTGGAGAGCTGGTTGTTAAACATTTACCAGCACCCACAAAACAGGTGTCCAGACCTTTGGGGAAAGCTGAATAGACCCAAAGGTAGGGCCAAAATTCTTGTCAAGAATTAATTCAAGAACTAAATAGCACTGGGTTTTAATGCAAAAAAAAAAAAAAAAAAAAAAAAAAAAAAGTTCTTTCTTGACTGGAAGCAAATTTAAAAGGAGGTAGAACTCTGCAGTTTAGTGTCTATCAATATTAAACTACGTGCTGAGAGGGAATATCCTAATTAGAAGATGTCAGGCTGTATATCTGTATATAACCCACACCCTCAGTGTGACACTGTTCATTGTTTGGGGACACAGAGACGTAAGATGGGAGGTGATGTACAGTGCTGAGTGGGCTCTGAAATCCTGACTGCCATTTTCCAGCTTCAGTCAAATCTTCAGATGATGGCAGCCCTTATTGACTTCCTAACTGCAACCCCGGGAGAGATCATGAGTTTAATTAAGCTACTCTTGAATTCCAGAGCCACTAAGTTTTGGGACAATTTATTATGTAGCAAGATAACATACTATTCAATAAATGTTATCCCTTTTATTTTTTTTGAGATAGAGTTTCACTTTTGTTGCCCAGGCTGGAGTGCAATGGCGTGATCTTGGTTTATTGCAACCTCCACCTCTCGGGTTCAAGTGATTCTCCTGCCTCAACCTCCCAAGTACCTGGGAGTACAGGCATGCGCTACCATTCCCAGCTAATTTTGTATTCTTAGTAGAGACAGGGTTACTCCATGTCCGTCAGGCTGGCAAACTCCTGACCTCAGGTGATCTGCTCGCCTTGGCCACCCAAGGTGTTGGGATTACAGGTGTGAGCCACCATGCCTAGCTGTTTGTTATGCTTAAAAAAAAAAATTAATGTCTTTAATTTTAGAGATGGAGTCTTGCTGTGTTGCCTAGCCTGGAGTGGCACCATCATGGCTCATTGCAGCCTCAAACTCCTGGACTGGAGCGATCCTCCTGCCTCAGCCTTCTGAGTAGCTGGGACTACAGGCATGCAGCACCATGCCTGGCTAATTTAAAAGATTTTTATATAGAGATAGGATCTTGCTATGTTGCCTGGGCTGGTCTTGCTTTCCTGGCCTCAAGTGATCCTCCTGCCTTACCTCCTAAAGTACTGGGATTATAGGCATGAGCCACTGTGCCTGGCCCATGTTTGCTATTTGAGATGGTTTGGCTGTGTCCCCACTGAAATCTCAACTCGAACTGTAACTCCCAGAATTCCCAGGTGTTGTGGGAGGGACTCAGGGGGAGGTAACTGAATCATAGGGCTGCTTTCCCATGCTATTCTCGTGAGAGTGAATAAGTCTCACGAGATCTCATGGTTTTATCAGAGGTTTCTGCTTTGGCTTCTTCCTCATTTTCTCTTGCTGCCACTGTGTAAGAAGAGGTGCTTTTTGCCTCCCGCCATGATTCTGAGGCCTCCCCAGCCATGTGGAACTGTAAGTCCAATCAAACCTTTTCTTTCCCAATGTTGGGTATGTCTTTATCAGCAGTGTGAAAACAGACTAATACACTATGACTATCATTATCCTTCTTCAAATTTAAGTTCTGAGATCTCCCCCAGGAGATCTTCCTGACCCCCAAGCTGAGGAGCCCCTCTTCTGTATACCAAAGTCCCCATGCATCCCTCCAACACACGGCCAACCACCTGCTCTATCACTGTTTATGGGTTTGTCTTCTTCACTGGGTGGTGTGAGCTTCTGTGTCTCGCTCACTGCTGACTCCCCAGCTCCCAGAACACGGGACTGGGCCCAACAGAGATTCTTGGTGTGTGTTCGCTGAATGAATGAATGAATGTATTACTACATGCTCAGCTTTCTGGAAGTGGCCTGAAGGTCCTGAGACAATCACGGTGCAGACACTAGATCACAGGAACGTTGGCTTCCTCTCTCGCCCTAATTTCCTGTGGCCACACCCTGCTTATTGGGGGTGATGAGGAGGGGTTCCCAGGACTTTTATTACTAAAGTTGGAGAAGTAGCTGGGTGTGGTGGCTCATGCCTATAATCCCAGCACTTTGGGAGGCTAAGGTGGGTGGATCACAAGGTCAGGAGTTTGAGACCAGTCTGGCCAACATAGTGAAACCCCGTCTCTACTAAAAGTGTGAAAAAATTAGCCAGGTGTGGTGGTGTGTGCCTGTAATCCCAGCTACTTGGGAGGCTGAGGAAGGAGAATCGTGTGAACCTGGGAGGTAGAGGTTGCAGTGAGCTGAGATTGTGTCATTGCACTCCAGCCTGGGCGACAGTGTGAGTCTGTCTCAATAAATAAATAAATAAATAAATAAAAAATAAATAAATAAAACTGAGGAAATCCCAGGCAAGTCAGGATGAGCTGGCCACCCTGCCTGCCTATTTCATCATATAGGTGATGATTTCATCACATAGGTGAGGCTCTGATTTCATCACATAGGTGAAAGCTACGAAAGGTGTTTGGAATGCAGATGCCCTGCTTTTACCGTTGGACTTTGAGAGATGAAGGCAGATTATCAGCTTAGGATGAATTACAGTCCGTGACATGTTTATGCTCCATCTTGTTCTCAGAATGGGGCTGGAGGGGGCAGCTTTGGTCTTCAACCACTCATTATGAGAAACATCTGGAGGTGGAAACCAGCCTTGCTTAATGGGGTTGCTGCTATCTGTGGTTCAGTTGTTTGGAGAAGGTTTTGCTTATTACGGACTTTTAGGGAAGGATATGGGTAGGGAGGGAGACCAAACAACCCAGAGGAGAAGTATCCTTTTATGGTTCAGGCGGAAACTTCACCCAGATGCAATCACTTACTGACCTCTCTGAAGCCGGAGCCCATGTGACCCCAAACCCACCCAGTGACAGCGGGAGGCAGTGGCGGGTACCTGATCTTCCACCAGCCTTCCAGGTTTTTCTGGATGACCTCCACCACAGCCCCTCTCTCCAGGTTCATTTCATCCTGGTCCCGAGCTGTGTACGGGTAGATGACTGTGTACTTCTCCTCTGTGGGGACAAAAGGAAGCTGGGGTCAGAAGAAGACACCAAGAGGCCTGGGAGGCTGCAATCCCTGTGATGGCCTTGCTCATCGGAGGGAAGATTTCCTCCAGAGAGTTCTGGGCACACACCTGGCCCCAACCTAGCCCTGGATGGCCCTGCAGGTAGCAACAGAACACAGGATAAAGGGCAGGTCTCTAGCCCTCTGAAACCCCTCAGAGCCACACACTCAGCCTCACCTGCTCAATCTGTGCTTCGAGATCACCTTCCTCGACCACCTTACACAGTATTTCCATCCATGGCATTCTCATCCCCCTTATCCCAATTTATTGCCCGCCACCCGTACCAGGAATTATTTGGCTTATTTATTGTGTTTCGTAAGGGTGTGTCTCTTTCCTCTGCTAGAATATGAACGCCATGAAGGCAGGGCTTTGTCTGTCTTATGCATTCCTATGTCTCCAGCACTGGGCATGGTGCTTGGAATGTTTAGCAAATCAGTCAATATGCAGTAAATGAGCAAGACCTGAAGCCCCGGTGGGAGCCACTTTGATCACACAGAGGGGGTTAAGCTGTCTGCGGCTCTTTACCAGCTCCTGCTGGTGGAGAAGCCGAACTTTGGCAGTGAAGGGTTTCAGGCTGAAATCACTCCCAAGGAGGACACGGCTCATGATTTTCATTACCTTGCTGGTGGCTGATCTTCACTTTTTATTATGTTCAAGTCTTTGAATTCGGCCATGCTCAAAGCCTGAACTTTCATTCTTGTGACTGGAATGTCTTCTGCCCCACTCTCTGCGGTCCCCCTGACCCCTGAAGCCGTTCGACCATCCTTATGGCCTCACCCTCCTCCCTGAGAGCAGCCCACAGCTGTGTCCCCTCCCACAGTAGCCCTGGAGGGCCTGGGCTCAGCGGGTCGGCTTGCTCATCATCGCACTCTGGCAGGGTGTCCCACAGAGCCAGGAACAGCTCCCACCCGCAATGTTATCTGCTATGGCAGCTGAAATGGAGAAAAATGGATTTGTGTCTCAAGGGAGCCAGGCAAGGCAAGGAGAGGGCTCTTTTGTTTTGGTTACATTTCTGCCCCCGGTGAGTGCCTGAGCCAGCTGTGGCCTGGTGTCATGGTTAATATGCTGCTGCAGACGCTATCTCTTTGGGAAAACACCACATGCCGTCTGAGGCCTGCCCAGCTGGTGCAGAGGCAGGCGGAAAACACACAGGGCGTTTATTTACTGATTGATCTAGCCTGCTGACCTGCTCGGTGGGGGGTGAGCTGACTCAGGCTGCACATATCCTGTGCTCAGCACAGGCAGCTGCCCCCTCCTTCGTGGAAGCTGCAGGCTGGACTGCTGGGCTGGAAGCGGTGGAGGAAGAATCCAACCCTAGGTGCACAGAAGTTCTGTTTGGTCCAGGTGGGAAAGGGTGCCACCTGGGTCTCAGAATGAGTGCAGTCAGTCCTATGAGCCTGGACTCCTGGGGCCCGCACCCTTCAGCTGAGCTGCACGGAAGGATTTTCTATCACTGGAGTCCCTCTCTGAGATCCATGGGATGCTCAGTGATTGCACACACAGCAGAGGCTGGAAGACCTGTGGACTGCATGCCTGCGGAGGCTTCCTCCCTCGCGTGCATTTGCCCTTCCTCTGGTGGTGCTATCAGCCTCTCTCCCCATGGCTTAGTGAGGCCAAGCTCACCACCTCCTGGAGGGAAGGAGTAGGTGTGAGACCCTGACCTGGCCAAAGTGTTGCAACTCCCAGCCACTGTGACTGGCTTCATGGATGGCAAGTGACCCTAGTGGGTCAGCTGGAAACAATCCTAGGACTTGTGTTGAAGGAGAAGCTCTTTCTTTGGTGATGTCCCTGAAAGGTACTTGGAACTGCTGTCATCACGAGAGAATGGTGCCAACAAGCAGAGAGGTGGTGAGAGTTCCAGGTCCTGATGACAGTGTCAACCCCCTGGATCCAGCTCTGCCTGAAGCTAGCCCTACCCTGGGTTTTTCAGTGATATAAGTCAATATACTTCCCCTTTTGCTTAGCCTGGTTTATGTGGATTTCTTTCCCTTGCAAGTCAAATGAGCCTGAATGAAGAAACAGGTCACTGGTTCAGCCTTATAGAAACCCGCCGGCATCATTTTTTAACCCGAGACACTTTAGAGCCCCAAGGCCAACAATACCCCAGGCCCACTCCTCCCAAACCCACATGCCAACAACATACACGTCACACAAGACAGACGAGATCACTGTTTCTCACATGCAACAAGCACGGGCGGTCCCAGAGCAGGGAGGCTCATGCAGGTGCAGGGACCTGGCTCCAAACACCAAACGGGGAAGAAAACTCCGAGGTAGGCACCTTGACGCCAGCTGATGGCATACAAGTCCCCCAGAGTCCGGCGGCGGCCCACGGGCCGGGGCAGAGACCAATACCTCCATGAGACTGGATGGGCAGCATGTAGGGGGGAAGGGCAGAGGGCAGAGGTAAGAAGAAAGCACCACAATGTGTAGAGGCAAAGGTGGCACGAAGCACATGTCCCCACCCGGGATAGCATTATTTCTGAGTCTATTCCAAGCCCCAGACATCTTAGGAAGACCAAGTTCCTCGTATTAATTGTGAACTGGGGTGAAGAGGCTTCCAGTAGACATAATTCCATTCCTAGCATGTATAAAGAGGTGCTAGGCTGAGGTGGGAGGATCACTTGAGCCCAGGAGTTCACGGCTGCAGTGAGCCATGATCATGCCACTGCACTCCAGCCTGGGTGACAGAGCGAGACCCCATCTCAAAAAAACAAAAACAAAAACAAAAACAAAAACAAACAGACAAACAAACAAAAAAAAACGCCAGGTGCTGTGGCTTACGCCTGTAATCCCAGCACTATGGTAAGAGTCCGAGGCCAGCCTGGCCAACATGGCAAAAACCTGTCTCTACTAAAAACACAAAAACTAGCTGGGTGTGGTGGTGCCTATAATCCCAGCTACTCAAGAGGCCGAGACAGGAGAATTGCTTGAACCTGGGAGGTGGAGGTTGCAGTGAGCTAATGCCACTGCACTCTAGCCTAGGCAACAGATAGAGACTCCATCTCAAAAAACAAAACAAAACAAAACAAAAAAAGGTACCACGTGTGGTTGAGGGAAGAAAATAAATGTACAAACTCAGGAAAATGTGGTCTTCTGGCCGGGCGCGGTGGCTCAAGCCTGTAATCCCAGCACTTTGGGAGGCCGAGGCGGGTGGATCACAAGGTCAAGAGATCGAGACCATCCTGGTCAACATGGTGAAACCCCGTCTCTACTAAAAATACCAAAAAATTAGCTGGGCATGGTGGCGCGTGCCTGTAATCCCAGCTACTCAGGAGGCTGAGGCAGGAGAATTGCCTGAGCCCAGGAGGCGGAGGTTGCGGTGAGCCGAGATCGCGCCATTGCACTCCAGCCTGGGTAACAAGAGCGAAACTCCGTCTCAAAAAAAAAAAAAAAAAAAAAAAAAAAAAAAAAAAATGTGGTCTTGTTCTCGTCTTCTGGCTGTGTGACCCTGGGCAGGTCTCCTTCCTCTCAGACCTCATTTCCTCATCTGTAAAATCGGGACTGTCGTGAATGCCTGACAGAGGCGCTCTCACGGTGGTCATCATGAACCATCTCAGGGGCTCTAGTTTCCATGCAGCAAATCACTAAGGGATGAATTTAACCCCTTAATCTGAGTTAATTCTGGTGGTAACCTCGTGTTACCCCCAGTGCCTGGCGGGCCCCACAAACACAGAGCAAACCAACAGATGTTTTACTCTGAGGGGTGTTGGCTGTAATAGAACTCAATGCAAAACCCTATGTCAATTTTTGCTAACCTTTGAATATAGAAATATCTCCCTTCTCCTCATCCTCTTATCTGATGAAGATATGTTTTATATGGCTTTGTGCTTTCTCATAACAGTCAACTAAAAGCCAAGAAAACTCAACTCTAGGTCAGGTATCGCTGATACAATAATAACTGTTCCTGGTCATTTACTGTTCTAAGTTTCTTTGCATGTGGATCTCATTTAATTTTTTTCAAAAATCCCATGATATAGATATCACTGTTTCCATTTCTAGATGAGGAGGCTGAGGTTTAGAGAGGTTAAATTACTGGCCCAAGATCACTGAACCAGTAAGTGGCGCAGTTGAGATTAAAATTCAGGCGTGTCTGATTCCTAAACCCCTGTGTTTTTTTGTTTGCTTGTTTGTGTGTGTGTGTGTGTGTGTGTGTGTGTGTGTGTGTGTGTGTTTTGAGACGGAGTTTTGCTCTTGTTGCCCAGGCTGGAGTGCAATGGTGTCATCTCAGCTCACGGCAGCCTCTGACTCCCACGTTTAAGCGATTCTCCTGCCTCAGCCTCCTGAGTAGCTGGGATTACAGGCATGTGCAACCATGTCCAACTAATTTTGTATTTTCAGTAGAGACAGAGTTTCTCTGTGTTGGTCAGGCTGGTCTTGAACTCCTGACTTCAGGTGATCTGCCTGCCTTGGCTTCTCAAAGTGCTGGAATTATAGGTGTGAGCCACTGTGCCCGGCCTCCCAAAACCCCTGTTTCTAGTGAAGGTGAACTCATGCCCTAGTTTTAGGAATGTTTCTATGGGAGAAAGGGAGTTGGTTAGGATTTAGCATTTCTGGCATGGCAGAAATCACCATTCTGGACATGTGTAGGGAGGGTTCTGTGGGAAACAATGGAATGTGAGTGTGTGGGTGAGTGGAGAGGGACACCTGGTCAGGGCCACTGAAACCCACAGAGAAAGCAGAGGCCTTTAAATAGATGGGGTCAAATGTCTTGCAAATGAGCTGAAGCAGCTCCACAACCTTGGCCACCAGAATAATTCTAGGGAGGAACAGTGAACTGCTGTTGGGGATCAGGCTGATCTGACCCCTCCCGGGGTCCCATGGAAGGGTTAGGGCTTGAGCTCTGGCCAGGCTCACCTAGGTTGCTAGTAAAGGCCCCTAAGAGAGGGTGGGCTTGCTCCTCTGCCCTAATACCATGGCCTGGTTTTTGGTTCACAGGCTATGGAGCCTGAGCCAGTGAGCTGCTGTGATGCAGAGGCAGAGGCCAAAAGAAGAGATTGGGTGAAAAGGCAACCCAGTATGGGTGATGACTCTACAGGTCCTCTCCAGCGAGCAGAGGCTGGAGCTCCTTCCTACCTTCTTCAGGCTGCAGGGAAAATTCATCCTGCACCCCATCCTGGCCTTCGAGGCACGTTGCAGGGACCCAGCCTTGCTCCTCAGCAGTGCTGACGAACCACCAACCTGGGGAAGCGGGAGTGCAGAATGGTGTTAGTTGGGTCAAGTGTGAGGTATAGGGGTCAGAACATAATAATCTATTCAGCCAGTACACCAGTGAACTCCTGGGATAAGGCTAAAGTTACCATTTTACTGGTAGAACACAACTACCAATGTTACCTGCTAATTGCTAAAAGCAGGTCCAGAAACTTGCTCCTGAACCCGAGACAGGGAAGAATAAAGTTCTCCTAAATGACAACAATAAAGAGGCTGGGCATGGTGGCTCATGCCTGTAGTCCCAGCATTTGGGTGGATTGCTTGAGCCCAGGAGTTCAAGACCAGCTTGGGCAACATGACAAAACCCTGTCTCCACAAAAAGTTTAAAAATTAGCCAAGCATGGTGGTGCATGCTTGTAGTCCCAGCTACTCGTGAGGCTGAGATGGGAGGATCACCTGAGTCCAGGAGGTCAAGACTGCAGTGAGCTATGGTTGCACCAATGCACTCCAGCCTGGGCGACAGAGTGAGATCCCATCTCAACAACAACAACAACAACAACAACAACAACAACAACAACAACAACAAAGTTCACCTTCACTAAGATGTGTGATGCACCCATCATTTTACTTGCATTAAATGTAATCTTCACATTATCGTCCCAATTGTACACATGAGGAAACAGGCTCAAAGAGGCAAACAGACTCATCCAAGTTCACATGGCTTGTGGAAGGGCCGTGATTTGTGCACAGGGCTGTTTGATTCTAATGGCGTTGTCCTTATCTGAGACGCAGATTTAGCATCTGCTTCACAGGTCTCTCACCCTGGGAGGCTCAGACATTCCCTAAGGAGAAGGGCCTGCGTGGGGCCTGTGGTAGGGAGAATAATGACCCTTTCCCCGCAAAGATGTCTCTGTCTGAATCCTCCAAACCTGTAAATATATTAAGTTACATGGCAATCATTAAGGCTGCTAATCTGCTGACCTTAAAGTAGGGAGTTTATCCTAGATTCTCTGGGTGGGCCTAATATAATCCCAGGGGTCCTTAAGTAGGCAAGAAGGAGGCAGAAGTCACGGGGACATGTGGCCGTTGGGGAAAGACACAGAGAGCTGCAATGCTGCTGGCAGTGAAGAAGGAAGAAGGGGCCATGAGCCAAGGCAGCCTCCAGGATCTGGAAAAGTCAAGGAAACAGATCCCACTGGGAACCTGAAGAAAGCAATGGGGCCCTGCCAATTCCTTGATTTTAGGCCAGTGAGACCATGCTGAACTTCTGACCCACAGATTGTTAGGTAAACACGTGCTGTTGGCCGGGTGTGGTGGCTCCTGCCTGTAATCCCAGTTACTAGGCGGACAGAGGCAGGAGAATCACTTGAACCCAGGAGGCAGAGGTTGCAGTGAGCTGAGATCGTGTCACTGTAGTCCAGCCAGCCTGGGTGACAGAGTGAAGCTCTGTTTAAACAAACAAACAAATACATAAGTACTGTTTTAAGCCACTGAGTTTGTAGTAATTCATCACAGCATCAATGGGAAACTATATAGGGACCAACTGGCTCTGTATAAAATAAATGGAAAAAAGAGATCTGTTCCCCAAGATCACACACCTCCAAGCCCTAGAGACCCCAGAGGAGAAGAGAAGGAGGGAGCAGACTCTTGAGCCAGACTGCTGGTCTCACAGAGAGGCCCGTGCTCTCCACCTTCCCGAAATGGAAGCTGCCTTCGGCTTTCCTCGATGTCAGGTTCCAAAATACCTGTGATGGTGGCTGATTGTTCTGTGTGTGTATGTGAGTGAGAACAAATGGAACTCTGGGGCTATGAAACCTGTGGAAAACCAGGAATTAGAAAATAGGCCCTACGATTTTCTAAAGATTCATATTTGTAAATATTTGTATGAAGATAAGGAAACGGTCATAAAACAGTAATAGCAATGACAGCATTGACGTGTCAGATACCGTCCAGGGTGCTGCACGTCCACTCCTACCTTGCTACAGCCCCACCACAGCCTTATGAGGTGTGTACTATTACTGCCCCCATTTCACAGATGGGGAAGTCAAGGTTCAGCAACTCTCTCAAAGTCACAAAGATAGAAAGTAGCAGAGCCAGGTTTCAAACCCAGGCTGTCTCTGAGCTCTGAACTATTTTTACTAATGCCTCACGCATTGCTAGAGGGAGGATAAATCAGAACAGCCACTATTTTGGAAGTAGATAAGTTGATGGTATCTTAAGACTTAAATATGTGTATCTTGGCTAGGCACAGTGGCTCACCTGTAATCCCAGCAGTTTGGAAGGCCAAGGTGGGTGGTCAGGAGTTCAAGACTAGCCTGACTAGTATGGTGAAACCTTGTCTTCACTAAAAATACAAAACGTAGCCAGGTGTGGTGGTGTGAGCCTGTAGTCCCAGCTACTCAGGAGGCTGAGATAGGAGAATTGCTTGAACCAGGGAGGTGGAGGTTCAATTGAGCCAAGATCGTGCCATTCCACTCCAGCCTGGATGATACAGTGAGACTCCATCTCCCCCGCCAAAAAAATAAATAAAATAAAATATGTGTATCTTATAGTCCAGCTGTTCCACTTCTTGGAATCTAACCTAAAGAAACTGACATGCACACTGTGGCACTGTTCACAATGGAGTATGAGTGCAAATATATGAACATGGCTTATTCAGGCACTGAATACTATGCAGATGTGAAAAAGTATCAGAGGAGCTAGACAGTAACTAAAAAAAAGTTAGCTGCAGATCAAAATGTATACAATAACACTACTGGGTTTTTGTGTATATGTGCATGTATGTATGTATGAATGAGTACATGTGTATGTGTATATTCACATGTACACACATACACGTGTGTATATAATATATTCAAGAAAGGGTCATACCTAATGAATAGAAGGGTTATCTGGGGCTCAGAAAGGGGGTTAGGGTTGAAGCTGGTGGAAAAAATAGATTTTAGTTTTATCATTAATGTTTTAAGAATAATGTATCCAGGCATTACTTGGATAAGTACAATATAATTAAAAATAAATGTCGTTATTGTGTTGGCTACTTGAAGATGTACGCACTCATCCTCTCCCTTCTTTCTGCTACCCTCTGGACATACCAACGCTCATTCCTGGCCCCCACTCTTCTTCCCAGTAACCCAACTTTCCTTACTTCCTGCAAGCTGGGGGCTCAGGGCAGTGGGTGCTCCTGTCTTCTGTCTTTATGTCCCCATGGTGTGTCCTAGCCACATCACACAATCTGCACACATTCATTCTCAAGAATTGGAAAGTCACATGGCCTTAGGGGCTGCTGGAGTTGGTTTGGAAGTCCAGCTCTGCAGCCTGTTGTGAGATGTGGGGTGAGTGACTGACTCACTTGGAGTCATGGTTGCATTAGCTGTGAAGCAAGGATGGCAAGTCCTATACTGAGTAATGAAGGAAGTTTGGCTGGCTGGTGCTGGTCTCATGACTAATGCCACCATGATCCAGATGATGTTGGAAACATCGTCTTTCCCCTGTTCTTTGGATCTCAACTAGCCATTGGGCTGTCACAGAGACTGACACACTAATGATATGATTAGCTAACATCACATGTTAGCCACAGCAAACCCAGTGGTTTCCACTGCATTTTCTCAGGGAGGATCTGCTTATTTTCTGCCCTTTGCCTTCAGTGGCGTGCAATGGCTGCTTTGTGGCTAAGGAAGGCAAAGGGGAAGGAAACTCACATTTTTTGAGCATCTACTATGTGCTAAGCACAAGTTTAAGCACTCTTTACATATTATGTCACTTCATCTTTACAATCACTCTTTAGAGCAGAAGTTTTTATTTTGTTTAAGAAAAGTAACAGAATAAAGCTACCTGAACCACTGTGAAATGTGGAATTCCGATGGAAATCCAGGTTAAGTGTCTCAATCATAACACATTCTGCCCTAGACCCAGCCAGTGTCCATGACCAATGGTCCCTGTGAAGGGCAGGTAGGCTAAGGACACAGGGAATGTGTCTGTCCCATTCATTAGAGCCCAGAGTGATGGAGCTTTCTTGAAGACTCCCATGGGTAAGCAAAGGCAAATCAACAGAGCACATTTCCAGTGGAGTGCTGGACTCTGTGTCTGCAAGTGCTTTAGAGCCAGAAGGAATGTTTATAAAATGTGAACGTCAGAACAAATAAGTACCATCTGACCCAACAGGATACTGGTGAGTGGTGACCAGGTGGGATATTCGAGCACAGTGATCAAACAGGGGCCACTTTCTAAGAGACCTTCTGCCAGATCTATGGGAAGTGGCCAGCCTGGATTGGCCATTTCCGTTTCTGAGTTTCCAAATGTTTCCTGTCCTAGGGGCTTGGTGACAGGGTAGTAGGAGAGGGAGGTGGTCTAGGTCCCCACCTGACTCATTCTTCTCGATGATGTCCACCACCTGCCCCACGCCGAGGCTGATCTCTGAACTCTCCTGCTTCTGGTAGTTGGCCACCACCACATACTGCTCCAGGACCATGGGGTCCACTGAGGTTTGGTCACCTCCTGTGGATAGGAAAGAGACATGACATCTGGCCACCACCCATGCATGAAAGAGCAGGAGCCAGAGCAGTAGGGTGGGTCAAGAGGGCATTCCAGATAAAAAAGAAGCAGTTACAGGACTCATCCCAAAAGTGACTTCATCCATTCATTCTTCTATTCATGTGCTTATTCAACCACCCAAATTGACCCAGTGCTATTCTGTGCAGGAACAGGGGATTCAGAGTTGATTAAGATATGGTACCTGCCCTGAAGATGCTGACACCCTAGTGGAAAAACTCATTCATTCATACTTAGCTATCCATCCATCCATTTTTCCATCCATATGTCCATCTGTCCATCCATACGTCTGTCCATCCATCCATCCAGCCAGCCAGCCATCATATGCCATCATCCAACCATCCATCCATCCATCATCCAGCCATCCAACCAAACATTCATCTATCTGCCCTCCATTCAACCATCTATCCACTCATGATAGATCCAATTAAACACCATCCTCCATCAACCGTCTCATCATCCATCCAAAATCACTCGCCTATTAATCTATGAAATCACCAGTGATGTTGATTCCAGATACTCTGAAGAGTACAAAGGTGAATAAAACAGCTGTGACTCCCAGCCTCAAGTAATTCAGTCTAGTCACAGAGATAGACACATACATATGTGATTGATAAGATATAGAATTATATAAGCATGAGTTTATGATAAATTGCTGGAAACAACCAGGATGTTGGTACAGAAAATGAAGGGAAAAGACAATGCTGTATTAAACGGGGTGGCTGGCAAGACCTGAGGCAGGAGGAGGGATCATGATGAGAATGGGGGGAGAGTGGTGTAGGCACACTCTGAGATGGGAAAGGACTTGGGACCTTCGGGACTGGGAGGAGGCCAGGCAAGGAAGTGCGTGGAAAGAGTGGTTCTGAGTGAGGTCCCCAAGGTAGGCACGGGTCAGATCAGGCAGGATCTTCGGGGCCAACTAAAGAAGTTGAATTGCTTTTAACCTTGAAGAGGAAAGTCGATCAAGGGCTTTAAGAAGAGAATTACAAGATAAGAGTTACATCTTTAAAAAGATAATTCTGGGTGGGGCATGGTGGCTCACGCCTGTAATCCCAGCACTTTGGGAAGCCAAGGAGTGTGGATCACCTGATGTCAGGAGTTTGAGACCAGTGTGGCCAACATAGTGAAACCCCATCTCTACTAAAAATACAAAAAATTAGCTGAGCATGGTGGTGCACACCTGTAATCCGAGCTACCCAGGAGACTGAGGCATGAGAATCACTTGAACTCGGGAGGCAGAGGTTGCAGTGACCTGAGATTGCACCACTGCACTCCAGCCCCGGTGACAGAGTGAGACTCCATCTCAAAGACAAAAAAAGACAATTGTGGAGTAGCGCATGAAAGCCATCACACAGAACTGACTTTGTGCCTCTCTCCCACTCTGTTGGGTGGCATCGTGTTGGTAGCTTGAAATTGGCCATGGTGGGAGTATTTACACCACAGAAATTGGCAAATGCTACAAAGCAGGGCTTCCCCACTGGAGAGCTGGTTGTTATGTATCTACCAGCATATCACTGCACTCCAGCATCTGCAACCAGAAGCAGTACAGAAGCCCCTTGTTAGAGCCATGCGGTCTGGATTTTTGATATGAACAAGCAGAATAGGGCATTGTAGCTGGGTGAAGGGTCCTGCTTCTTAGCTCTGTGCCCATGCTCTGGCCACTCCCGCTTCCTGCCTGATGGTAACAAAGAAATGGGAGGGCCTTTAAGCTGGGGACAACCCTGCCACTTGCACCCTGCATAGAGAACGCACAAGGAGAACAGAGGAAGAGAGCAGGAAAGAAACAGAAAGATGCAGACTGACAGTTCAGAAGAAAGGGCAGGAAGCAGCCTTCATGAGGGCCCATTACCGGCCACAGACAGCACATAAACCATCCCAGCGCATCTGCCCTGCAAGCTGGGTACTGCCACCTGCATTCTGTGGGCATGTGCCACAATGTCTGGCTAATTTTCGTGTTTTTAGTAGAGATGGGGGTCTCACCATGTTGACTAGGCTGGTCTTGAACTCCTGACTTAAAGTGATCCGGCTGCCTTGGCCTCCCGAAGTGTTGGGATTGCAGGCTTGAGCCACCATGCCCGGCTACAATCTGTTTTCAATATAGCAGCTAGAGCAATCCTTTTAAAAGATGTATCAGAACATGTTTCTCAAAGGTCAAGTCTCTGATGGTCTTCACCTCACTTGTGAAAAGCCTCAGTGGTCTACAAGGTGCTGTCTAATCTGCCTCTGATCACTTTTCTTTTCTTTTCTTTTTTAAAATAGAGATGGGGTTTCGCCATGTTGCCCAGACTGGTCTTGAACTCCTGGGCTGAACCAATCCACCTGCCTCAGCCACTCAAAGTGCTGGGATTACAGGCGTGAGCCACTGCGCCGAGCCTGTTTTTATATTTTTTAAGCGCTGTAAAGAAGGAGGAGAAGATTGAGAGGATGAGAAATAATTATTATTAGTAGTAGTGACAGCAACTGTGTGTGGCCCATGAAGGCTAACATATTCCCTATGTGACCCCTTAGACAAAGTCTGTCAACCCCTGGCCTAGAACATGGATGACTTCTTACCAGGGCTCAGTAAGTGTCTGAATGAAGGAAGGAACCAGTTTAAAACTCAGCTTTGCTGGGCATGGTGGCTCACGCCTGTAATCCCAGCACTCTGGGAGACAGAGGCAGGCGGATCATGAGATCAGAAGTTGAAACCCCATCTCTATTAAAAATGCAAAAATTAGCCAGACATGGTGGCACATGCCTGTAGTCCCAGCTACTTAGGAGGCTGAGGCAGAAGAATCGCTTGAACCCAGGAGATGGAGGTTGCAGTGAGCCGAGATCATGCTACTGCATTCCGGCTTGGGCAAGGGAGTGAGACTTCCTCTCAGAACAAACAAACAAACAAACCCCTCTGCTTGAATGACTTCCTATCTCAGGGAGCATTCAAATGCTTCCTTCACATTTCATTTTGTTTACACAGGTGTCTTTTCTACTAGACTATGAGAGTGGTTTCCACCTGGGGACCTAGAGCACTGCCAGGTACAGATACAGTTCCTCATTCAATATTAAGCACCTAATAGGTGCTTAAATAAATTATAAATTAGTTATACATTAAATAAATATTGAATGAATAACCATACCTGTCTTGTTCATTCAGCATCCAGCACAGGTGTGCAACAGACATTTGTCAGGTGAATGAACAAAGGATAAATGAAGACTTCTAGAAACCCTTCCTACTCTATACAAGAAATGTATGTAGAAAGAGGGCTTCAGTTAAGTGAAGATCCAGTTGTCAGGTTACTCTGTCCGAAAAGCTCAACTTTTGCCACCCAGTTTTAACACCTGATGGTGGCACAGTTGCACCACACACAGTTTTCAGGACTCTGATGAATGCGCCGGGCATTTCTGCACTAACTCTCCTAAACAGTTTGCCAAGGGGATTTGGCAAAACTATGAGCAGTGACAGAATGACAGAACCAAGGAATCATATTTGCTGTGAGCAAGACATCGAGCCAGGAAATGAGGAGGGCAGGGAGCTCTGGGTTGGGACTCTGGGTTAGCTGGAGCAGAGCATGGACTGGCACAGGGCTCAGGGATGGCACTTCCTCCAAGACTTGCTCTGGGACCAGGTCCAAGACTACCATCTCCTTGCTATTTTTCCGTGGCAGTAGCTTAGACTAGCTCTCTGCCATGAAGTGGTTTGGAGAATGCATAGAGTTGCTGTTTCAGCACTAGTTCTTCCAGAGTAAGTTGGTTGATTTTACTCAGAGCACTCAACTTATTGAAACTGATGAAAAAAGTTCATTCATTTGATCCACCAGGAGTCTCAAATTAGGCTTCAGGCTATTTACTTGTTAAGTGAAGACACCTACTGGTGGAGGGTGATATTGCGGCCAAGCTCTATAATGCCACAGTAATTGCAATGTCTAAACGTTGAGGCAGGCAGCTAAAGCGAAATTCTAGGAGTTGCCAAGTGTGAAGTCAAAGGATTCCTAGGCAAGGATATCACTTTTGTGGTCCAGTCAGAAATATGAGAGAAGAGGTGATGAGAAAGAGGAAAGTCTGACATTGGAAGGGCGATTTTATTATAAAGTGTTATAAAATATTCTTAAGATGTATAGTGCCTAACCTACCACAGAAGTTTTCTATTTGGGCACATTTTTTCTTCATGATGATATGTCTTGAATTTTTAAAATGACGGGTAAAGTGGGATTTTCCTTCCAAAGATTTCACTATATTGCCAATCTTGCTAAAAGAGTCAGTAAACAAAGAATGCTTTTAAGTAAAGGTTAGAAAAATCGGGAAGAAAGATGCTCCTCAAATAATTGGATGATCTCTTGACTTTTGGTAAGAAGATTCATTTTCTGCAATTTGAGACCATATTAGCCAAAGTCTGTAGGAGCCAGCCAGCCAGTCATGACCGGGAAATGCCAGAGGCAGACAGACCTTCCCCAAAGCAGAGTTTTGGTACAGAGATCTCAGGAGTTTGTCTGTCAATGTTAGATCCTATTAAAATTCAATCCAAAAGGCCAATTCTAAAATAAAGGAAGTGTTCAAAGGTCAATAAGATACACGGCTAATCCCAGCTTGGGTTCTTAGTTTGAATGAAGAAAGATGCTATTTTCCACCGAGTTGAATTATAAATAATCTGTCCCCATCATTTCAGGTGAATGATACAACAACAGTCACCACAAATTAGAGCTTCTTCCCCCTTTTCCAGACAAGACCCTTCATCAAGCTGGTTCCGACTGGACATTTGTGTTTGTCACAAACCAGAGCTGTCTCTTTCCTCTCTTCTCTCCCCTCCCACACTCATTCCTTCTAGGGAAAGTCTCTACACACTCAAAACCAGAAACTCTGCCAGCCCAAGAGTGGCAGCTCCTCTTCTCTCTGCTCTTTTCTAAGAAACATATAATTATCCCCGGGGCTCAGGAACTATTTGCAGCTTTAGCAGGATACCACAGCTCTGGCCAGTACCTATTAAACTAGAAAGAAGAGCTATAAACAGACTGGTTGGGAAAAGGCTGAAGTTAATTCCGACGCCATTCCTTGAGGCAGAGAGAATGACGGTGGGGCCTGTCAGGTTGACCACAGGGCCCGTACTCAGGGGCAGCAAAGGTACTGGGGCTGTTTACTTTGGAATTTCTACTTGATATGGTTTGGATCTGTGTCCCCACCCAAATCTCATGTCTAATTGCAATCCCCAATATCGGTGGTGGGGCCTGGTGGGAGGTGATTGGATCATGGGGGTGGGTCCTTCATGAACGGTTCAGCACTATCCTCTTGGCGCTGTTTCGAGATGGAGTTACCAGGAGATATGGTTGTTTAAAAGTGTGCAGCACCTCCCCTCTCTCTCGGTCCTGCTCCTGCCGTTTAAGAACTGCTCACTCTCCCTTTGCCTTCCACCATGATGGAGAGCTCCCTGGGGCCTCCCCAGAAGCTGAGCAGAAGCCTCTATGCTTCCTGTAAAGCCTGCAGAACCATGAGCCAATTAAACCTTTTTTCTTTATAAATTATCCAGTCATAGGTATTTCTTTATAGCAGTGCGAGAATGAACTAATACACCACTGCTGGTCAGGGGCACCCATGTACTTTAAGTAATAGTAGGAGTAGCAGTAAAAACAGCATCAAACATACATCACCGGCCATGTGCCAGGCACCGTTCTAGGTACCTTACGGATATGATTATAAATCCTGTAATAATCCCCTAAGGCAGCCTGCCATGATAAACCCCATTTTACGATGAGGAAACTGAGGCCCAGGAGAGGATGCATCCTTTTTCACATCTAGGATCTCTGCTTGCACCCCTGATCCTTATCAACCCTCTCAAACCTCCTGGAATCCTAGGAAATTAAACAGTGTTGGATTCTGGAAGTTGTGAAGTCCACATTGGCTCCAGGTGACGTATAGGTTGGGGCCTTTGCAGATGACCTTGGGTGGCAAGAAGAAGTTGGGCCACTGTTTACATAAAGTTATAAACCCCAGGGGAGAGCTCAATCATTCCTCTGTGCATTCCCAAATCCCACCTTCTCTTTCTCCATGCTTCTGAGAGAAGAGTTGTGTCATCTAGGCAATGGAAAGATGATTAGGAAGGAATGTAATGTACTTTAGGGAGAATGGCCATAGGGATGGGAATTGCTTGACACTGCATCTGTCATTGCCCAAAACAGGGGCTGGGCCTGGTGCCGAGGATGTCCAGTGGATACGGCCCAGATCTACCACACATTCCTGCCCCCCAGCCTGTGCCTGGCCATCCCCTCAGCCCAGGATGCCCTTCGCTCTGTGGAAAGCTCCAGCTCCTTCGTCGAGACCCAGGAGGAAACTGAGGCCCATGAAAGGGTGCATCCTTTTTCACTTCTGGGATCTCTGCTTGTACCCCTGATCCTCATCAACTTCCTCAAACCTGGAATCCTAGGAAATTAAAGACCGCTGAATTCTGGAAGTTCTGAAGTCCACATTGGACTTCCTTCCGACCCCTTATCACACCTGCAAAGAATGCTCTCAGCTCTCAGCTACCACATTATTCTGTATAAAGTGGAACAAAGGCATGTACCTCCCAATATCATAGCTAGGAAGAAGTCTGTCTCCCCATTTCCATGAAGGCATTCCCTGGAAAAGACTCCAAGTCTCAACCACTTGGCAGTTTTTTGGTGTATTAGATGAAACAACCTCAAATACTATTTTTGGGAAATGGGATTGGGGTATTACCCAATCAATCAAACATCCATCCATCCATCCATCCATCCATCCATCCATCCATCCATCCATCCATTCACCCATCCTTCCTTCCCTTCCCTCCCCTCCCTCCCTCCCTCCTACCCACCATCCATCCATCCACATCACTGTATCCCCAGCATGGAACCCAGGACCTGGCACACAGTAGGTGCTCAGCTGGAGTTTGCTACACACTGAATAAAGAGAAGAAAATAGAGAATATTCTTACCAGATTTCTTTTTCCCAGCGTGCTCCCTGTACAGGAAAGAAAGGGAGTGGGAAAGAGAAATGAGTCAGTACTTGCCATGTATTAACATGAGTTATTCTGCTAGAAAACTGACATTCTCCACCCCCGACAACATCATCAGTGAATGAATAAAATCCAGGCCAACTGGAGGGATGCTGACTTCTTCAAAGAGAAAGAATTTCTCTTAATTCTGCCCCTTTGCCTGATCAGTGCTCTGGTGCCCTGGGGACCAGTGTCTCCACTTACTTGTAGACTGGAAGCCCTGGAGAGGAGCTGAAGGGGGATGCACAGTTTGAAAATAGGAATTAGGTCCCCCCGCCGCCATGAGCCTGATGCCTACCTCATCAGCACAGCACAGGTCCCTGCCCCATTTCTTGGGGTCCCCTAAGCCGTAGACATGGGGCAGAAAGTGCTTGAGACTAAGTATACAGGGAACACACTAAAACTGGGCAGAAGTCTGGACAGCAGTGAATACAGTACACCTCCCCAGTAGAGACGGGGGGGACACTACCATGGGCTGGAATTCATGGGGAATGATGAATAGTGACTCCCTTACATTTGTCGACCATGTCAGAGTTTATAAATGCAACTGTATCGGTCAGGGGCAGCGACTCATGCCTGTAATCCCAGCACTTTGGGAGGCTGAGGTGGGTGGATCACCTGAGGTCAGGAGTTCGAGACCAGCCTGGCCAACAAGGTGAAACCCCATCTCTGCTAAAAATACAAAAATTAGCTGGGTGTTGTGGTGCACACCTCTGGTACCAGCTACTCGGGAGGCTGAGGCAGGAGAACTGCTTGAATCTGGGAGGCGGAGATTGCAGTGAGCCAAGACAGCAAGATTCCAACCTGGGGGGTGGGGGTGGGGGCGGGAAACAACGGCATCCCAAATGCAGCATTACAAATTAGGGCTTACAAAGCACTTTTAAAGTAAGTGATCTCATGAATAATGTTTCCAGTGGTTGGGCTGGGATGGACATTGTGGCAACAGTAGCATTAGCTAATATTACTAAATGCGACTAGACCTGGTGCCAGCACCCTGCTAGGCACTTGTAGTTTACTCACCCAATACTCACGATGATCCCCGGAAATAAGTATTATTATTATTATTATTGAGACAGAGTTTTGGTCTTGTTACCCGGGCTGGAGTGCAATGGCGTGATCTCGGCTCACCACAACCTCTGCCTCCCGGGTTCAAGCTATTCTCCTGCCTTAGCCTCCCAAGTAGCTAGGATTACAGGCATGCACCACCACGCTCAGCTAATTTTGTACTTTTAGTAGAGATGGCGTTTCTCCATGTTGGTCAGGCAGGTCTCAAACTCCTGACCTCAGGTGATCCACCTGCCTTGGCCTCCCAAAGTACTGGGATTACAGGTGTGAGCCGCTGTGCCTGGCAGGTATTATTCTTATTCCCACTTTACAGATGTGGAACAGAGAGGCTAAGTAATTTGCTCAAGGTCACACAGCTTGCAAGTAGCACAGCCAGAATTTGAACCCAGCTCTGACTAACTTTAAAAAAACTGAAATATTACTGACAAACCATAAACTCATCTTTTAGGCTAGGAGCAGTTGGTCACACCTGTAATCCTAGCACTTTCGTAGGCCCAGGGTGGGCGCATCATCAGAAGTCAGGAGTTTGAGACTAGCCTGACCAACATGGAGAAACCCCATCTCTACTACAAATACAAAAATTAGCTGAGTGTGGTGGCATGTGCCTGTAATCCCAGCTACTTGGGAGGCTGAGGCAGGAGAATCGCTTGAACCTGGGAGGCGGAGGTTGCAGTGAGCTGAGATCATGCCATTGCACTCCAGCCTGGAAGACAGAGATGACTCTGTCTCAAAAACAAAACAAAACAAACAAAAACTCATCCTTTAAAAGTATGCAATTTACTTGTTTTCAGTATATTCACAAGGTTGGCCAACCATCACCACTAATTCCAGATCACTTTCATCACTCCAAAAAGAAGCCCCGTACCCATCAGTAGTCACTTCCCATTCTCCCTCCTCTAGCGGTTGGCAACCACAGATCTGCTTACTGTCTCTTATCTGCCTATTCTGGACATTTCATGTAAATGGAATCATACAATGTGTGGCCTTTTGTGTCTGGCTTCTTTCTTTCTTTCTTTTTTTTTTTATTTATTTATGTCTGGCTTCTTTCATCTGGCGTAATGTCTTTGAGGTTCGTCCGTGTTGTAGCATGTATCAGTACTTCACTCCTTTTGTTGCTAAGTAATATTCCATTGTGTGGATGGACCACAATTTGTTTACATCTGGGCTCACTCATTACATCTCACACATCCCTCTGAAGATTACTCTATTTTGTAGATGGAGATACTGAGGCCCAGAGAGGTGAGGTATGAGGCCTAAGACTGGAACCCAGGAAGCCTGGCTGGAGCCCACTCTCCTGACCACCACCTGGACCGTCCTGGGACTGAAGTTCCCCACTGGGCTGCTGTTCCAAGATGCACTAACCAAGGTCCCTTCAGTCTGCTTCACAGAAAGCAGCAGCTGCCGGAGTTGCCTGCGAGCTGAGCCGTGGTCTGGGCTTAAGTACTGGGCTCTTACCGGGCCACGCACCCTGGCTTCTATTGTCCCAGGCAGAGCAGGGGAATGGGGCCGGCAGGAGACTCCAGCGTTCAGGCAGCTGCAGCATGTGTTGGCTCAAGCAGGTGCGTCATCTTCTTGGTGTGACATGCTTGGGGTGTTCCCACGTTTTCCTATTCATGGCAGCCAAAACCCTCCTCCAACAGCACCAGCTGGCTAGGAAAGACCCCCAAAGTCCATCTCAAGCCCTAACATGGGATGAGCTTCAGGATCCTGACCAACAGAGCAACCCCACTGAGTATAACCTTCAAGTTCACTATCCGTAAACCAACAACCAGGGCCCAGATGAGACTGCCTGCTGCGGCTCCAGAACCATCTCTTGGGCCCTTGGCAACCTCCCCACCTTCCTTCCTTTTCAAATCCTGGCTTAAAGACAGGACGACATCACTAGGTAGGCACCTGCCCTGTGCCAGACACCGTCCTTTATGGGCGGGATCTTGCTTAGTGCTCACAACAAGGCTGTGGGCCAGGGCAGTGGCACCACTTTACTAATAAGGAAATAAGCTCAGAGAAGTCAAGTCATTTGTCCGAGGTCACACAGCTGGGAAGGGACAAGGCGATCTGAACCTTCCCTTTCTTTCCAGGAAGGCTGTCAGAACCAGATACACATACTCCAGCATGACGCCTGCTAGCTTAGTTCAGCTGTTTCTTGGCACTTTCTTTGGTACAGTCTAGGCTGTGTTTTGTATTTTTAGTGGATGTTCTATTTGTGTATGCATGGGTGCCTGTATACCCACGTGTTCACGCCGCCTTTCCCACCACTGTGGAAGTCAGCAGGCCCTCCTCATCTGCTGATGAATGAAGAACAAAGCCAGTGGCCTTGGCTGGATGCAGCATGGGCTGAGAAATCCTGTCCTACAAGCTCCAGCCAGCAAGCTAGGGAGGCTGCCTCTGCCATCAAAGAGAGGAAGCCAGAGAGTGCAACAAAGCCACCATGCAGCCTCCAGGAATTCCCACCTCCTCTTAAGGGCTGGCTCCCACCCTGTGTCCCGGGGTGTCCTTCCTTCTTGTAGATGACCAGACTCCTCCCAAGCACAGCAGCTGCCCTGGCCTGGCCCTCTCCCCTCTATGTGTCTAAGTTGGTCTGATGCCTGCTCAGAGAGTGGGGCCACTGCAACCACCTTTGCCAGGGAGAGGCCAAAGCCATGCTAGCACCAACATTCGGAAGGGCTGCCAGGGCTGGGCTGCTTCGCTTCGGGTCTATGTACAAGATTCTGCACAAATGAGGACCCCCTGAAACTGCAGGTGCAGTTACCTTCCCTTTCAGGAAGAGGGAAGAAAGCTTTTGCTGGAATCTCTAAGTGGTCCATGATGCTCCCCAAAGCTAAAGTCTCTGGGACACTGAGATAAGGGAGCAGAAAATCTGGCTATCATTGAATCCAGGGGGCCGAGGAACGGAAACCAACGTCAATACTACTCTCACGGCTGGTGTTTTCTCCTTTCCCTGCCCTGGGGCAATCAGGTCTGTAGAGCTTGTCCCAAGTGCTTTCCTCTACATCTCATTTGATTCCCCAAGCAATGCCGTGAGGGAGGTGTCATCAAGCCCATTTTACATAAGAGGAGACTGAGGCAAGGCGTGGAAAGACCTGCCCAAGCTCACCCAGTTTGAAAGTGGCTCCAGTAAACTGAGTTCATACGTGGAAACCCTAAACCCCAGCTTGATGGTGCTTGGAGATGGAGCCTTGGTGGGTAATTAGGTCATAAAGATGGAGCCCCAGGATGGGATTAGCACCGTTATGAGAAGAGAGGATCATTTGAGCCCAGGAGTGTCAGACCAGCCTGGGCAACATAGCCAGACCCTGTCTCTACAAAAAAAATTTTTTTTAAAAGAGAAGACATAAGAAAACAGGCTTTCTCTCTCTCTCTCTCTTTATTTCTATCATGTGGGGACATATCTGCAAACCAGGAAGTGGCCTTCACCAGGCACTGAAATAGCTGGCACCTTGATCGTGGACTTCTAGCCTCCAGCAAGTGAGAAATACAGTTTTGTTCCTTAAGCCACCCAGTCTGTGGTGTTTTTGTCACAGCAGATGGAACAAACTAAGACAGCGGTCAGGTGATTCTTCCTGCTGAGTGTGTATCGGGCTGGGCATCTTGATCAACTCTTAAGAGGCAGTCCCGGAATAAAGACAGCAACGTCTGGGCATTCCGAGAGGGGCAGTACCATGAGCTGCCTACCTCCTGAGCAGCTGGCATGGTCTTAGAATTTTTCCCTGTGGCAGTCACTCAGTCCTCACCATTACCCTAAAAAGTACAGTTACTCCCATTTCACAGTGGAGCAAGTGTGGAAGCCCAGAAGCAAAGCGAGGAAGGCCCATGCCACACAGCCCAGGAGTGGTAGAGGCGGGATTCGAACCTGGGTGTACTAGATTCCAAACTCAAGTTCTTTTCTATTAAGTAAGCCTCTTGTGTGGGACTGAGCTTAGGTTCAGACTCAGACTGACACAGGAAAAATTCATCTTCACCTCTTCAAAACTGTGCCCCTCTTTCATTATTATTTTGTTAAAAGTCTCTTTTATCATTCTGAACCTCAGCTGCCTCATCTGTAAGCGAGGAATGACAGGTTTTCTGTTTGTTTTTGAGACAGAGTCTCCTCTGTTGCCCAGGCTGGAGCGTAGAGGCGGTAATCACTGCTCACTGCAGCCTCGACCTCCTTGGCTGGAGCAATTCTCCCATCTCAGCCTCCTGAGTACCTGGGACTAGGCACCACGCCACCATGCCTGGCTAATTTTTTTGATTTTTAGTAGAGTCAGGGTCTCATTATGTTGCTCATGGTGGTCTCAACTCCTGTGCTCAAGCAATCCTCCTGGCTCAGCCTCCCAAAGTGCTAGGATTACAGGCGGGAGGGAATGACAGTTTTTATGTGGCAGTTTTGTGAGAAAATGAAGTGGAAAGGGAACACAATGAGCTCTGTATCCTTTGATTCACCTTGTGCAGAAATTATCATTGAAGCCAGAGGCTATGAGCCTGAGTGGCAGTTCACTCCCGCGCCCGGGAGGACTGCAGACAAAGGCGGTCTGAGAACGTTTCCCCATATTTCCTGATGGCGATACAAGTCGGGAAATGCTCACCAGATACCAATGCCAAAGACACTAAGAACAAAAACATTAACCAGCATGAGCTTAACATCCCAAATGATCAGATTTATATTCTGTATCCTTATGATTATTTTTAAATTTGTGAAACCGTGTCTTGGCTCCTGTGTTGGCAAGACATTCCCTTGTGATGTGTGATTCAAAGGGTTACTGCTGCCTCTTACAGAATGTCCCCCTTGACTCCAAAACCACGCGCTTCTGTGCACTGACTGTGAGAAGCTGTATTTACTCGCTCCGTGCTCATCACAGGAAACGGTGCATACTGGAATGTATTTTTGCAGGAACTTAGGTCTACTCAGCTGTGTGCTAGCAAACCATCCATCCTGAGTGGTGCACTCGGAGATCTGTGGCCTGTGAACTTGATTTTGGAGGTCACTGTGTATATGCATAAATTATAAATGGCCTGACTTCGCTTGTTAAAACACTTTGATGCTTTCCCCTCACGAGTCTATTTCAAACATTTTTGTGACTCCAGCAGATCACTTCCAAAAGGCAGCACGTGTCTTTCTCTCTCGATACATGTACGGTGCTCAGCACACCGCCCGTCACGCTGGCTGTTCGGCAAACTCACCCTTGGTTATGGCTGCTGCCTGGGGCATCCAGCGAGCACAGGGCTAAGAGCGGCTGTGCCTACTTCTGGAACAGAGCCTGGCTGGCACTTTTTAGCCCTTCTCAAATGAGCCCGGACGGACCCCAAACTCTGCCCACTCTTGCTCCTGTGACCCCAGGACACTCCCAGCACCGTGGGCAGGTCTCTTTTCCCCACTGCTATTTCTCCATTAGCCAGATCCCTTCCTGCTTTCCCCAAAGCAGCATGCGTATGTCTGTTTCGAGGCAGCCAGGGTGTTGGTGTGTAAATGCAGGCAGGCAGACGGTGCTTGGGTTTTATGTGGTGTTGCACTGTGGCATCTGGGCATGTGGCCTGTCCACTGCAGGGAGAAGCGACAGGGAGGCAGGGCTGTGGTGGCCATTTCGGGCAGCTTTGGAGCCTCGCTGAGCAGGATAAAATACTGGCCCTGTCACTTGCTGGCAATGGGATCATCATCGGTTTGGTTTGCTCCTGCATTCACACCCCCGGCAGTTCCGGAGCACACCCACCTCTGTGGACAGAAGCTAGATGAATCTACGGCTCAGCCCCTGCCTCGCAGGCCCAGTCTGCCCAGTTTTGACACACCCTGGTAAATGCTGTGGGCAGGTGCAGAGTATTACGAGATGACAGGAGTGGCACTCAGCCAGTTTCCTTCACCCGTCAAACGGGACACTTACTATCCGCTCACAGTAACTCTGAAGGCTACGTCGAGTGTGGTCTCACAGGGGCTCAGCTGATGAAACCCACTTTGGGCTGCATTTTGCTTTACTTGGGGGTGGCTGGACTGGCAGGAGGGAGGGCTGTGGGGCTCCACCTGGGGAAGCCCACAAATGAACTTACTCTTTGGGGGGATTCAAGTCTTCAGGTCTTGTCTCAAAAAACTGCAGCACCTCATCACACTGAGAGATGTAGGGGGGCAGCTGGATGAGGGCCTGGAGAAGAGAGAGACAGGTGAGTGCAAAGGAGGAGAGAGGGCTGGGCGTGGTGGCGCACACCTGTAATCCCAGCTATTTGGGAGGCCGAGGCAAGAGGATTGTATGAATCTGGGAGGTGGAGGTTATAGCGAGCGGAGATGGTGCCACTGCACTCCAGTCTAGGTGACAGAGGAAGACTTTGTCTCCAACAGATACACACACACACACACACACACACACATGCATGCACACACACAAAACAAAAAGCAAAGGAAGGAGAGAGGTGTTAGGAATGCCATACACCAGTGCTCTCAAACCCAGGAAGGCACCAGAATCACCTGGAGGGCTTGTTAAAACAGATCGTGGAGCCCCACCTGAGTTTCTGATGCAGCAGTTCTGTGGAGGAGCCTGAGAATGTGCATTTGTAAAAAAGTTTCCTGGTGATACTGCTGGTTTGGGGAACAACACACACACACACACACACACACACGCGTCACAGTATATTTGTTCAAGTAATACATCCACATTTAGGCAAAATCAGACCATACTGTACAGGCTATTTTGTAAACTGATGCTTTCACTTAGCTATAAATTGTCAACTTCATGACATTTCATTATTCTTATTTATTTATTTATTTTGAGACATGATAGTGGTGTAATCTCAGCTCACCACAACCTCTGCTTCCCGGCTTCAAGCAATTCTTGTGCCTCAGCCTACCAAGTAGCTGGGATTACAGGCATGTGCTACCGTGCCTGGCTAATTTTTTTTGTATTGTTCGTAAAGCTGGGGTTTCGCCATGTTGACCAGGCTGGTCTCGAACTGCCAGCCTCAAGTGATCAACCCACTTCAGCCTCCCAAAGTACCGGGATTACAGGTACCTGGCACATTTCATTATTCTTTTATAACATCATCTATACTGGATATTGGATGTCTATCTATAGCTGTATCACACTTTATTCAACTAGTTGTCTACTGGTGAATCTTTAGGTGTTTTCCAACATGCTCACATATATGTCTTAACTCACGAATCTGAAGCATTAAAGTGAAGGGACTGTTTTATGATTTGGAAAGAGGTTCAAAGTCTCCAAGTTAATAAGGGGTTGAAATAGATTTTCCATTAGCCAAAGTCCACATTAATCTGCCCCAGGGACTCACTGGCTGTGTCACAGAGCGTCAAGTGTGTCTGGCAATAGGTTGGACAGAGGGTAGGTGAAGGGCACAAAGTAGCCCTCCACAAAGTTGGTTTAACTACTAGCAGGTATTCATTCAATTATTCAATGAGCATTTTCTTTTTTTTTTGAAATGGAGTCTCGATCTGTTGCCCAGGCTGGAGTGCGGTGGTGCGATCTCGGCTCACTGCAACCTCTGCCTCCTGGGTTCAAGCGATTCTCCTGCCTCAGCCTCCTGAGTAGCTGGGATTATAGGCATGCACCACCACGCCTGGCTAATTTTGTGTTTTTAGTAGAGACAGGGCTTCTCCATGTTGGTCAGTCTAGTCTCGAACCCAACCTCAGGAGATCTGCCTGCCTCGGCCTCCCAAAGTGCTGGGATTACAGGCGTGAGCCACCATGCCCAGCCTCGATGAGCATTTTCTTTGTGCCCAGCACTGCACTAGTTTCTGTGCCAAATATAAGAGAACTGCAGGGGACACTCTGCTCATTAAGGGATCTGAAACTCAGACATGGCCGTCACGAACAAACAGCTCGGTTTAACAAATATGTACTTAAGCCTCCTTTGGCCCAGGTCCTGGACCAGGGTAATGAGGATGCAGATCTGAGGGTGGTTCAGGTGGTTCACGCACACGTTCTGCTGCAAACCCCTGTGCAGACAGCACATGTGCATATGCATGAATTGCACAGGTGATTCTGCCAGCCAAGCCACCCAGGCAGTGCCTGCTCTGCATGAGGCTGGATTCTACTCTCCTGGAGAGCCTCCGTTTCCTGGTGCCTCTCCTGTGCCTTCTCACCATGCTCAGCCTGAGTTTGGAGTCTGGGTTAGAACAGAATGTGTCTTGCATTTTCTACATAACCAGCCCGTAATAGCTCACCACCCAGCTCCCGAAGTGACATGCCAACCCTGCAGCAGTCCTGGACTCTCATGGGCCAACGGAGAGACGTACGGAGTCTCCAGTGTGGTACCTTTTACTGGGCTTCGGGGATATTTTGTCCCTACATGATTATTTCTCCCATTAAAAAAATTAAATTGTGGTAAGTACACACAGTAAAAAGTTTACCATCTTAACCATGTTCCAGTGTGCTGTTACAGTGCACGGAGTATTTAACACATTCACACTGCTGTGCTACCAGCACCGCCATCCACCCACAGAACTCTTTTTTTCTTGCAAAACTGAAACTCTGTACCCATTAAATAACAACTACCCTTCCACCCTCCCCCTGGGAACCACCATTCTACCTTCTATCTCTAGGGATTGATGATTCCAGGTAGCTCATGTAAGTGGAATCACACGGTGTTTGTCTTTTTGTGTCTGGCTGATGTCATTCAGCATGCTCATCCATTCAAGGTTCATGCTTGTAGCAGGCATCAACACTTCCTGCCTTTTAAAGGCTAAGTAATATTCCATTGTATGGATACACCCCCTTTTGCTTAGCATTCACCTGTTGAGGGACACTTGGGTTGCTAATCCTACATGACTTTGAGTAAGGCTCTAACTTTAAGCCAGCTCCCCTGAGGTGCGATCTGCTCCAGACTCAAAATGGAAAAACACATCTTGAGGGATGTGGATGGCTTAATAGGGCACCCTCCCCGGTCACTGTCCACCCTTCTATCCTTCTGCAGGGTGACTAAAGGGCTCACCGACTTTTAATTTTTTTTTGAGACGGAGTTTCGCTCTTGTTACCCAGGCTGGAGTGCAATGGTGCGATCTCGGCTCACCGCAACCTCCGCCTCCTGGGTTCAGGCAATTCTCCTGCCTCAGCCTCCTGAGTAGCTGGGATTACAGGCACGTGCCACCATGCCCAGCTAATTTTTTTGTATTTTCTTTAGTAGAGACGGGGTTTCACCATGTTGACCAGGATGGTCTCGATCTCTTGACCTCGTGATCCACCTGCCTTGGCCTCCCAAAGTGCTGGGATGACAGGCTTGAGCCACCGCTGCCCGGCCAGGGCTCATCGATTTTTAACATTAGCCTTTAAGTAGCTCCTGCTCTGCAGCAAATCCTTAAGGACGGACTGTTTCCAGAGCTGAAGCAGGAAGTCCCAGAGACAGGACAGGCCTTCCCTCCCCCACCTCCTGTTTCTGGTCCCCCTTCATTTTCTGGTTAGAGCAGTGAGTGGTCATTCTCCTGGCCAGGATGAGCTGCTGCCGGCTCCCCACTCCCCAACGGCCTCTTTTGCCTCTGAAATCCCGCAGCCCTTGCAGTTGGAGCCACGTCATGAAGGAGCTGATTATATGCTGGACTGTGGTGTGTCCTGGCTGCTTTGTGTGCAAATATCTTGTGGCTCCCCCAAGACTGCAATAACAGCACTCCCCGACCTTGGCTCAGCACTGGGTGGCTCCTGAAAAGTGTTCATCTGTGTCACTTTACGTAACCCTGGGAAGCCTGGCCCATGTAAGAAATGGGGAAAGGGAGGCTCTGGTGAGGTGGCTCGGACTTGAGAGTTTGGGAAAGGCCGACTGCAAACCTGTACCTTTAATCCACAAAAGGCGGCAGGGTGGCAGCTGTTCCTCCACCACCTTCCCTGTGTGCCTAGACGGTGCTGGGGAGACCCTAAATAACGTGACGGAACCACCTGGTGCTGGCCATGTGTCTCTGTTAGAGGAGAGCTGGGTGGGTGTGGGGCCCCACACCTGGAGGTGGTCACTGTCTCTGCCTGGAGGGGGCCTCCTAGGATGGGCAGAGGCCCCATATGGACCAGGAGGGGAAGGGACATGACGCCCATGGAAACCTCCCGATGATGCCAAGTTCTCTTCTGGTTTTGAGCTATTCCTGGGAAGTAAAAGCCAAACCAAACCCCCAAACCATAAAAGAAGTCAAGTTAGTAATAAAAGGCAGGGCTGAATGCTTTGATGTTGGCCCGTTTCATTTGGGATGGACTTGGCCACCAGTGAAAAGTGACCCGTGGTGGAGAAAGCATTCTGCTTCTGCTTCCAGGACTGTCCTAGGTTCCGTCAGTAGTGACAAAGAACCACAGCTCCAGCAAACTCAGTCCTGTTCTGGAAGGAATTCTGGCGCTTTGGACAGAGGTGGCTGATGCAGGCACAAGAGAGGAGAGCAAGGCCTGCTTGCAGAGGGAAACAATAAAGGTCAGACAGAAACAGCTCCTGATTCCAGCCTTGTCACTTCCTGGCTGTGAGATTCAGGCCAAGTCCCACTGCCTCTCTGAGCCCCAGTCTGCTCATCTATAAAGTGGAGCTAAAGAACACCCATCTTGGAGGGCTGTGCTATAGAATGAGGAAGTGGCTGAACTGTTTCCACCGTACAGCAGCTGCTTGACAGACGCTGGTTAACCCTGTTGGCTCTCTATACTGCCCCAGGTACAAGAATATAGTGGTTTCCAAAGACAGTTTCAGAGGCAGCCAGATGACTACGTTAAACGACAATGCCTTGGTTAGAGAGAAGGTTCAGGTTTTTTCAGTTCTCTTTCGACCCTCTTTGTTTATTTATTTATTTATTTATTTAAAGACAGGGTTTCACCATGTTGGTCAGGCTGGTCTTGAACTCCCAACCTCAGGTGATCCACCCGCCTTGGCCTCCATTACAGGCGTGAGCCACCATGCCCAGCCGACCCTCTTTAATTTAAACAAGAATGCCCCAGAGAATAACACTTGTCTAACTTGCTTCCTGAGAGCAGGACGGGTTCTGCAGAGCCTCTGGTAGGCAGGCAACAGCAGCTAGCTAGATTTAAAAATGTTCTGTTGTTGTTTCATTGCTTTTATTTTTACTTTTATGGCAGGCACATAATACTCATTTTTGTTTTGTTTTGTTTTGTTTGTTTTTGAGACGGTGTGGCTCTGTCCCTCAGGCTGCAGTGCAGGGTAGGATCTCAGCTTACTGCAG